TGGAAAATTTCATACTACTCCGTCCGCGCAATTTTCGTAAAAAGGGATACAAAGTTTTTGCTTCGCGTATTAATATATAGATTTATAAACTTTTATAATTAATGTATATATTGTATATATAAAAGTCGATGTGTATATATTGTCTATAGATCAGAATCGCTTTACTAGTATTAAACAACAGTCAACAATACAGATTTGATACTGTCTACACAGGGTCAAACAACGAAAAACCACGCATTCATGTGTGCTTAATTGACTTTCCTAACTTACATATTTATTTAGTCCATTGTTTGTTTGACTTGAAGCAAAGCCTCAGGGCGACCGATTGTGTTCCCCTTTATACAGAAATCGTTTGAATGCTCTATTTGTTTTTATGAAAAATGATTCATATTAATTACAGCAACAATTGTAAGGTATTGCAAATATGGACGCTTTTTATTTTAGTTTTGCATAATAGGGTTTGTAAGCAAACCTTACATACGGGAAATGTGATGTCGGTCTGGAATAGCACCACCATATCTCTTCCGTGAGTGTCGCAAGTGGCAACTGTGGGATTTATGGGAGAACACGCACAGCAACAAGAAAGATCAGGGTTCTCTGAGTGCTATAAATACGCGATCGCCAACCTATATTTACTAGTGGCATGGCAGATTTTGAGCCCGCTCGAGGGAATACCACATGCTTATTTTTGCTGCGAAGTAGTTCAGGGATCCAGTTTCCAGAGTAGGCCATTATACAATACAATTAAGATTTGCTCCCCATGTGTCACACGGCGTTCATATTGTCATGCCAGATAGGCTGTGAGCTTACACGTCAAGATAATATGCAAAAATTATTAATTTAAAAAACTGACATGAAATGGTGTTGTGAAATGGATACCCAGCGAAGCTCGCGTTGCCCGCATAGGAGATGCGGCGCCGAGGCCTCATCGTGCAAATCAGTATTGAGCATCGTGGCGCGTAATGCCCGACTTCAGCTAGTGCAGAACTTGCAGAAATAGGGTTTGGGGCATGAGATATAGTGCTCTTCTGTATCCAAACCAACACGTCGCCATCGATTCAGGGGCTGGGTTAGGGATCTCACCCAAACCTTTGCCTCCCAAGTATTTATGGTCCTTTCCGTATACCACTTTGGCGAATGAGGAGGGAGACCGGATGACAGATGGCCACACTACATGACGCTGGATATCCCGGAGGTATGAGTTTGGCGACGTCATGTAGGTGAGCATGGAAACCAATCGGATCTGGATTGTTTCCCGTGTTGATAGAATCTCAAAGAGGATTGCGCGCTGAGCAACTCCCGTCACTTTGCTCTCAGTCTGCCTCGGCTTATTCCGGTTCATGTGAGATTCTGATGCGGGTTTTTGAGCGACATGAAGTTTTATTAGGGTTAACTACGACAAGCCTACTACACCCAACGTGTAGGCAAAATTGCGGCGATTTCCTCCTGACCCCAAAAAAAGAAATACGTTTTTGAAAAGAATCTGAATAAAGAAATTCAAATAATGACAGTAATTTTCAGTAACATTTTGCTATCGAATATTAAGCTGCATAGGACTCGAAGGAACATAACCTAAATCCATAATTACAAAATCTACTCCCAACAAAATCCTCGTTGTTTTATATCTAAGCGATATTTGTAACTCAGATTTCAGGTACTATAATTTGTTCATTGAAAAAAAATTCCTCAGTAACTTAAAAACAATTAAGTCACGTTAATCTACTTAATTTCAGACTCTGGATGAATGGTCTTTCGACGTGTTCACTCTGCACGAGGCGTCCAACGGGCAACCGGTCAAATACTTAGGTTACGAACTGTTGAATCGATACGGAATGATTCATAAATTTAAGGTAAGTGCGAACATATTTGTCACAAATCGGGATACAGTATTTTATAAATAAACATCGATCTAAATATATCTGTATCTAGAATATTCATTCGCCTTGCTTGAAGAAGATTTGCGGAAAGTGCCCTGTGGTAGGTAGCAGCTTGGCTATGTGTCTCTCTTGCCTTATTGCGATGATCTTTACAGAAAATCCAAATGCAGTAGAAGACTTTTTCAACGTCAACATAATTTTGCTGGTATTGGGACGTATTTTAAGTGCGCACACTTAAAAACCATCCTACCTGTTTCAATCAATATTAGAAGATAATGTTATATTCATAATCCAAATATAGGTTAAGCTTTGAGTAACTTCATATTTCCTGAACAAGCAATCTAAAGCAAACACAGCGCTCGCAACACATGAGGACGTTGACCTCGCGAATCAGCCGATTTATCAACCCCATACAGCGGGCTAAAAATGTTTATTTCATTTCGATCGTCCTACCGCTCTAGAATCTTCCTTTGTTTTAAAAACTAGCTTGTATTTATAAAAAAAAATAACAAAACATAAAAGCAGCCAGCATTAAGCTTCAAATGCAAATAAATAATTCGCTTCATTTCTAAAGCTACACTAATTACTCAAAACTAGACGTTTATAGAAAAAGAAACAAAATGAAATATTCCGTTTTGAAATAGCAACATCGAAACGAGAAAGTTATATTAAAGAGCAACTCTGAGTAAACTTTATAAACAACAAATTACTTGTTTACTGAATACCACGATATCGTGCGTTAGAATCTCTTTCAGAATGAAACTTTTAACCGATTTCATAAGTATAAATTAGACACTTAAAGAGTTACAAAATAGATTTTAATGAAGAGTTATGTAAGATGTTTTGAAATCGAAAATGACGTTACTGTTATAGCTTTTAACCGCGACTTGGTCAGGGAAAAATCCTGAAAGTTTAACATTTTTTTTTCGAAATAAAAAGTCCTTTTCTGACAACGTGTTGGCATTTTTTTTGGTTCATCAGTTAAGGAGTTAAAACGAGTGAAAACTTAACAAATAAGTAAACTCACTTTCACGTCATTAATAATTTTTGGATAATGATTCCACTCGTGTTTCATAATGGGTCTCTCGCACGAAAAGCTTGAAACCATTTTTTTCCTTAAAAGTAATACGTAACAGTAACGTTTTTACTTGTTTTAAGATTTTTGGATTACCTGCATCACAATTGTTTTAATTTGAGGGGTTCACCGGCGGAGACGATTTTGATTTTGTATTAAATTTATGCATTTAATGAGACAAATGATGATTTAAACAAAACATACGAACCGAAATAATTTTCAACTTTCAAGTGAGATTTTCAAATAAAAAATAGTAAAAAAAAACTTTAANAAAAAAAAAAAAAAAAAAAAAAAAAAAAAAAAAAACAAAAAAAAAAAGCAGATCGGTGGCACCTACTCATGAGGGTATCCAATAAGTCCTGGCACAAGTAAAAAATTTTGTAAAGGACACGTTTTTGTTTTTATTTATAAACTTTTATAATTAATGTATTAATTTATATGTATATATAAAAGTCGATGTGTATATATTCCCTATAGATCCGAATCGCTTTACTAGTAATAAACAACATTCAACAATACTGTCTACACAGGGTCAAACAACGAAAAACCACGCATTCATGTGTGCTTAATTGACTTTCCTAACTTACATATTTATTTAGTCCATTGTTTGTTTCACTTGAAGCAAAGCCTCAGGGCGACCGATTGTGTTCCCTTTTTATACAGAAATCGTTTGAATGCTCTATTTGTTTTTATGAAAAACGATTCATATTAATAACAGCAACCGTTGTAAGGTATTGCAAATATGGACGCTTTTTATTTTGGTTTTGCATAATAGGGTTTGTAAGCAAACCTTACATACGGGAAAGTCGGTCTGGAATAGCACCACCATATCTCTTCCGTGAGTGTCGCAAGTGACAACTGTGGGATTTATGGGAGAACACGCACAGCAACAAGAAAGATCAGGGTTCTCTGAGTGCTATAAATACGCGATCGCCAACCTATATTTACAAGTAGCATGGTAGATTTTGAGCCCGTACAAGGGAATACCACATGCTTATTTTTGCTGCGAAGTAGTTCAGGGATCCAGTTTCCAGAGTAGGCCATTATACAATACAATTAAGATTTGCTCCCCATGTGTCACACGGCGTTCATGTTGTCATGCCAGATAGGCTGTGAGCTTACACGTCAAGGTAATATGCAAAAAATATTTATTTAAAAAACTGACATGAAATGGTGTTGTGAAATGGATACACAGCGAAGCTCGCGTTGCTCGCATAGGAGATGCGGCGCCGAGGACTCATCGTGCAAATCAGTATTGAGCATCGTGGCGCGTAATGCCCGACTTTAGCTAGTGCAGAACTTGCAGAAATAGAGTCTGGGGCATGAGATATAGCGCTCTTCTGTATCCAAACCAACACGTCGCCATCGGTTCAGGGGCTGGGTTAGGGATCTCACCCAAACCTTTGCCTCCCAAGTATTTATGATCCTTTCCGTATACCACTTTGGCGAATGAGGAGGGAGACCGGATGACAGATGGCCACACTACATGACGCTGGATATCCCGGAGGTAAGAGTTTGGCGACGTCATGTAGGTGAGCTTGGAAACCAATCGGATCTGGATGGTTTTTCCGTGTAGATAGAATCTCGAAGAGGATCGCGCTCTGAGCAACTCCCGTCACTTTGCTCTTAGTCTACCTCGGTTCATTCTGGCTCATATGAGACTCTGATGCGGGTTTTTGAACGACATGAAATTTTATAAGATTTAACTCCGACAAGCGTACTACACCCAACGTATAAGCAAAATTGCGGCGATTTCGTCCTGACCCAAAAAAGAAATACGTTTTTGAAAAGAAGCTGAATAAAGAAATTCAAATAATGACAGTAATTTTCAGTAACATTTTGCTATCGAATATTAAGCCGCATAGGACTCGAAGGAACATAACCTAAATCCGTAATTACAAAATCTACTCCCAACAAAATGCTCTTTATTTTATATCTAAGCGATATTTGTAACTCAGATTTCAGGTACTATAATTTCTGTACATTGAAAAAATATATTCTTCAGTAACTTAAAAACTATTAAGTCACGTTGATCTACTTAATTTCAGACGCTGGATGAATGGTCTTTCGACGTGTTCACTCTGCACGAGGCGGCCAACGGGCAACCGGTCAAATACTTAGGTTACGAACTGTTGAATCGATACGGAATGATTCATAAATTTAAGGTAAGTGCGAAAATATTTGTCACAAATCGGAATACAGTATTTTATAAATAAACATCCATCTAAATATGACAGTATCTAGAATATTCATTCGCTTTGTTTGAAGAAGATTTGCGGAAAGTACTCTGTGGTAGGCAACAGCTTGGCTATGTGTCTCTTGCCTTATTGCGATGATCTTTACAGAAAATCCAAATGCAGTAGAAGACTTTTTCAACGTCATCACATTTTGCTGGTAGTGGGACGTATTTTAAGTACGCACAGTTAAAAACCATCCTACCTGTTTCAATCAATATTAGAAGATAATGTTATATTCATAATCCAAATATAGATTAAGCTTTGAGTAACTTCATATTGAACAAGCAATCTAAAGCAAACACAGCGCTCGCAACACATGAGGACGTTGACCTCGCGAATCAGCCCATTTATCAACCCCATACAGCGTGCTAAAAATGTTTATTTCATTTCGATCGTCCTACCGCTCTAGAATCTTCCTTTGTTTTAAAAAGTAGGTTGTATTTATAAAAAAAAATAACAAAACATATAAGCAGCATTAAACTTCAAATGCAATTAATAATTTGCTTCATTTCTAAAGCTACACTAATTACTCAAAACTAGACGTTTATAGGAAAAGAAGCAAAATGAAATATTCCGTTTTGAAATGGCAACAGAGAAACGAGAAAGTTATATTAGAGAGCAACTCTGAGCAAACTTTATAAACAACAAATTACTTGTTTACTGAATACCACGATATCGTGCGTTAGAATCTCTTTCAGAATGAAACTTTTAACCGATTTCATAAGTATAAATTAGACACTTAAAGAGTTACAAAATAGATTTTAATGAAGAGTTATTTAAGATGTTTTGAAATCGAAAATGACGATACTGTTATAGCTTTTAACCCCGACTTGGTCAGGGAAAAATCCTGAAAGTTAATTTTTTTCTTTTTTCGAAATAAAATGTCCTTTTCTGACAACGTGTGGGCATTTTTTTTGGTTAATCAGTTAAGCAGTTAAAACGAGTGAAAGCTTAACAAATAAGTAAACTCATTTTCAAGTCATTAATAATTTTTAGATTATGATTCCACTCGTGTTTCATAATGGGTCTCTCGCACGAAAAGCTTGAAACCATTTTTTTCCTTAAAAGTAATACGTAACAGTAACGTTTTTACTTGTTTTAAGATTTTTGGATTACCTGCATCACAATTGTTTTAATTTTAGGGATTCACCGGTGGAGACGATTTTGATTTTGTATTAAATTTCTGTATTTAATGAGACAAATTAATGTTGCTTTAAACAAAACATCCGAATGAATAATTTTCAACTTTCAATTGAGATTTTCAAATAATAAATAGTAAAAAAACTAAGAAAAATACGCTTTTATAGAAAATCCAACTAAAAAATAGAAAATAAATTTTAATTAATTTGATTTAAAAATAGTGTAAGAAAAAATGATTTTATTGTAAAAAAGCGTGCATGGTATCTGTATTTCAATTTTTTCAACTTTTTTTTAAATATTGAGTTGTTGTCGATCCTTAATAAGTATGCCAAATTTTGAGTCAATCCGACGTTCTGAAGGGGACCAAAATCATGTTCAAAGATTCCGTTACATACATACTAACATACATCTGAAGCTACGAAAAGCGTATTAAAAAAAAATGGTGCGCGTATAACTTGGCTTGAAAGAAGTTAAACTTATTTTGCGATGTGTTGTGGTTTACTTCATTTTTCATTCATTAATCAAATTTCTCTTCGTGCTGTGTTTAAGAGAAACTATCTAGCTCGCTTTGCTCTTTCCTTCTCTCTACGGTCGAGTGATTCGCGAGACGCTCTGTCTACTTTCTCACTCTCGCTCTTCCTAAATTGTATCATTTCTCTCTAGCCGTAACGAATCTATCGCAAGTGAAATTTTACTTTCAACGCACCAAAAGAAGTCTGTCTACTTTCTCACTCTCGCTCTTCCTAAACTGTATCTTTTCTCTCTAGCCGTAACGAATCTATCGCAAGTTAAATTTTACTCTCAACGCACCAAAAGAAGTTTCGCTTCAGAAATATTCTCCGCAGGCAATATATTCATACTTTAAACTCGAATGTGTTCGAACAGCGCGAACGTATCTATTGTCAGGCCACACAGAAACACGCTACGGAACTCCTTTCAATTTGAAATTACAATCGGTAATGTATTCTTACGTGAAATTCTCGTGAATAGCTGAATATTGGAACACGTGAAGATAAGGGCATCTCTCAACGTTTGTACGTGAACGCTGTAAATACTTTATTGGGAAAACTCTGTTGTTGATTCAAGATTGCGACGTCGCTCCCAATTCCTGTAGCACAATTTATTGTGTTTATCTTTTTTGTTTATGTACTATTGGGTACAAGTAAATAGCTTGACAAATGTTGCGCGTCTCTAATCCTAGTTAACCGGTGCAGCCCGGGTTATTATAGCATAGTACATAAGCATTAGTGCGCATGAATAAGTAAATATAGTTTAAAAACTAAACAAAAGCAATCTTCAACAATGAGCTGCACTGCAGAATAAAATTACTTTTTTTTTATTATTATTAAAACTAATTTTACCGTTTAATCTCGGATTCTTTACTGTCATTAAATTATTTAAGACGTTTTGTATACTTTACAGTTTGTATTAGTCGTCAGTGACCACGATAACATACAATAGGAAATACGAGATTAAGCCGTAAAACTAACTTTAATTGTCCGACGCGCGAAAACCGAAAAGAATTTAAATTTTTTTTATTTATACTTATTGTACACAAAAAGAAAATACAATAAAAACAGATTTAAAGAATGTCTAAATACTATGTACAAAGGCGAGCTTAACTCATTCATGAGTTTTCTTCCAGCAAACCAATAGCAGAGTGAAATACGATGTATAAGAGGGGAATAGTGTACAATATAAGAGCTATTAAAGCATGATTTTTAAACTAAGCATTAAAAAAAAAATCTAATATTAAATGAAAAATACATATAAATAAAAATACATAAAATAATAACTTAAATACGATTAAAGTGACAGGAAATGTTTCTTCATTTGACTCTTAAAAACTTCTAGAGAGGAACTAGCACGAATAGGTTGAGGGAGAGAATTCCATAATCGCACTGCTTGTATTGTGAAAGAGCCACTATAGCGATTAGAGCTGTGTATGGGAGTTTTTAAAAGAAGAGAAGTAGCTTGTCGACTAACTTTGCCGTCAGGAATCAGATATTCAAAGCGTTCACGGAGATAGATAGGGGCATCAGGATTGTGAAGAATAGAATAGAGAAAAGAGAGAATGTGGCAATCTCGACGTCGCCTAATCGGCAGCCACCCCAGCTCAGCCCGGAAATCAGAGAAAGAATTTAATCCTATGATTGCTTATTACGTTGATTACGATCTGAATGTTAGGTTATAATAATAAAATAAAATTATTGTTTTTTCATCGGTCCTTGTAAACGTATGCAAGATTTCAAGTTAATCACACGTTTTGAAATTGATGAAAGTTTTAGTTATATATTTACATACCAGTTAAGCTAACAGATAAGTGTTAGAAATAGGCTTTTGTTGAACCACTAAAGATTTCACGAATCACAATAATGTAAAAAATAATACTAAGTCTGATATTACGAGTACACACTAGAAACGAATCGAAAATTCAAAAAGTTTGCTAGGAACGTCGCGGCGTCGCTGCGATTTCACAGATAGAGATTGTTGTTAAATAGTCCCCTACGAAGTATCAGCGGGGAGTCGATTAACTGCAGCTCTGTTTGTCGCTCGATCAAGAGCTCTTTTCACTTTATTTTGTAACGTTTGCCATTTTGGAAGCTAAAACTGCAATTTCAGATTGTAGAAAACCGTATTTCGTGATTACAACGATATGATTCCTTAAAAAACCAACCAAATCCAATTCTTCTTCTTCTTCGTCGCTTCCTCATTACTAAGGGTCGTGACCACCTTGGTCCAATCTTTGCACCAGCTTCCTCCAATGTTGCCTGCATTCGGTCTGCTTAATGGCGCCCAGGACGCTGGTGTTTGTGGCCTCCTTGATAATGTCCGTCCATCTGGTTGGCAATTTTCCTCGACTTAATCAATCATTTAAAAAAAATATCAGTTTCAATTGTTAATTACGTTAAATACGGTATTACAAAATTTCTGTTACATTTATGGAGAAACAAACTTTACCTGAACTATATCATCAAACCTTTTAAGTTTTTTAAAATGAAGTCGAATAACATGGAATTTAAGCACTATTTGGTCATATTTTATTTATAACTATTGAAATCCTAACAAAAAAAACTTTATTTTTAATTTTTTTATTGCTTAGATGGGTGGAACTCACAGCCCACCTGGTGTTGAGTGGTTACTGGAGCCCATAGACATCTACAACGTAAATGCGCCACCCACCTTGAGATATAAGTTCTAAGGTCTCAAGTATAGTTACAACGGCTGCCCCACCCTTCAAACCGAAACGCATTACTGTTTCACGGCAGAAATAGGCAGGGCGGTGGTACCCGTCCGCGCGGACTCACAAAAGGTCCTACCACCAGTATTAGTACATAATTGTACTCAATATTGAATTGTGTGTGATTTTAATATAACTAATGCCCACAAACAGCGTAGCATTAGACGACGTACCTACATAGGACTTCGGCCATTTTGTTTTTATTGCGTAAATAGGTGAAAGAACCCATAGACTGCTCATTGCACCACAACTTTGATTCCCTGTCCATACTATTGAGGTCTATTGCATTGATACAACGACAGCCCTACCCAAAACGGAACGCATAATCACGGCAGTCTTGTTTTGCATCAATGAGGGTTTGCAACATGATCTACTGAACCGGTAGAAACTGCACTGCTTCCGTGGGCAGATTATAAAGAAAGCTTTAAGGATAGTGCATTAGAATAAGAAGTTCTTCTTCCTATTAGTCATATTTTGTGAGAGTAGCTACTTTGATGAATGTCGTAGAATTATTAATCATATTCAAATCAGCTGTTCTAATTTTGAAAGGATTAAGAATGGAATTGTCTCCGATTTTTTATGTGAAACATCTATAGCCGCACGTAAAACCGATTTATGGCGTGGCGACGCGTCGCCACACTATATGATGATATATATATATATACTGTCTCTATACAGTAGTGTGTACGGTGTTACGACGCGTCGCCATGCGCAATCGACTGTGCGATTCTCTCCCACTCGATCCGGCGTTAAGCCATCTCTCTCGCTACACTGAGCTCGGATACCTATAGTGTATACTCCGTAGTGTATACAGTGTTGTTTACTACAGTACACATAACCTGTGTTTTACTTGAAAACAAATTATTTTTTCGTAATATTTTATTTTATCATTATGACATATGTATTTAGTTCCTATCACAATCTGTTCTTTTCTGCATATTACTTTTACAAAATAATATCGATGTTTCACATCTGCCAGGCGTTCCATGACGGCTCACATTTTTTTAATTATTCCTAGGTTCCTCCGACAATCTTAGAGAACTTCCTCGGCCGGATAGAGGAGGGCTACTGCAGGTTTCATAATCCCTACCACAATAACCTGCACGCCGCTGACGTCGCGCAAACCGTGCACTACATGCTGTGCCAGACCGGCCTTATGGTAACGGATTAAAGACTATATTTCTTTATTCTAAGCGCATTACAAACCGAAAAAACAATTCCAATTTTAAAACTGTCTAGTCGGACTATTGATATAAAATTATGTTTGTTTTTTTTATTGAATTTTAAAATCAAAGGTAACCAATATGGACTTAAACGAATTTTGGTACCAATAAAAAGACTTTCAGCTATTGTACTGTCTTATTCTGTTTTTATTTAAATTATTACCAGTCAGTTACCATAATATATTTTTTATAACCAGTTATTATAAACAAGTAGCTGACCCGGCAGACTTCGTAGTGCCTCAATCGATAAATAAAAGACCTAAAGTTTTGTATAAAATAAATTTAAAACAAACAAAAGGAGTCCGTCCGACGGTGGACACATCAAAGGAAAAACAAATTGTAATTTTCATTTAATTCGGAGCATTTTCATATTTATCTACCTTCTAAACCTTCTCTGGACTTCCACCAATAATTCAAGACCGGAATTAGCCAAATCGGTCCAGCCGTTCCCGAGTTTTAGCGAGACTAACGAACAGCAATTCATTTTTATATATATATAGATAGATAGATAGATGTGCACCTTAATCGCGGTTAATGTGACAAATAAAAGAAAGGACAAAACCAATTGGCTATTGTAATTTCTAATTTCCATTCTCAGAACTGGCTCTCGGACCTGGAGATCTTCGCGACGCTGGTAGCCGCTGTGGTCCACGACTACGAGCACACGGGCACGACAAACAACTTCCACGTGATGTCCGGCTCGGACACCGCCCTGCTCTACAACGACAGGGCCGTGCTGGAGAACCATCACATCAGCGCCGCCTTCAGGTATTTTGCTCTATTCAATGACTTTTTTATGATTGAAAGATTACTGGTGGCCTGGAGGCCTTTCCAGCTTCACCAAGACAGGTGGGCGAGCAAAGGCTCAGCCAGGAGGGGTAGGATTTGCTAACAACTGCCCGAGCGCCTCCGAAGGAGACCTAACAACTCAAGAGCAATTGCTTCGAAAATGAATCTACTACCGGATCGGAATCGGGTTCAAGGACGTATTTATGTGAATTATCTTTGGTCGTACAGTCGATTATAATCCTTATGATAGTTTATTCTAAGACTTAATTGGAATTGTCGACTGGAGTTTTTGTGAAAACAATTAATACATAATAATAATAATTAAAAAAATATATTACTAACAATGACGCCACGTTAACTGGACCTGTGCTAAGTTCGTAAAGAACTTGTGTTACAGATACCAGATAACGGAAATAAATGTAAGATTTTTATTATACACATACATATATTTAATATACATCCATAACCCTGGAAAAGACATTTTATATTTATCATACATATATCTTCCCTTGGCGGGGTTCGAACCCGCGGCCCCTTTGTGTAGTGACCACGTCACTTACCACTACACCAGACGGCCGTTAAATTGTCTGTTGATCGTTTTTATTAAGAAATAGCGATAAATTTTCCAGGAATTTAAAAGTACTCAACTGCACTTGATATGTCAATTTCAACCTTTAACACTACGGTTGTAAGATCGAGATTAATATATAAAAATGTATACATAGTTAATAGTACATCAGAATTTAGTCCTTACTTAATTGTCTTTAAAGATAATATAACGAATAAATTCTTATAGATTTTATTATTAAGCAGCGCTAACTCCTCAATCTAACTGTCACTTCATTTAAAGAATATCTAATATTGACAGTATTTGACCAAAACGTCGCTAGCGACAGTAAAAAGACGCGAACAAAACACATTAAATAACTAGGTTTGAAGTTTTCGTTTTATATACAAAGTTTCTGAATCCAATTTTGAAACTAGAGCCAATTCGGAAGTTAATTTCGCTACATTTTAATAACGATGCTGCCTACTTAGTAATACATAGTTTATTTGGAAGCCACAAAGTGCCAGTTCATGTGTAACATAATTGTGTTGAAAATGAGTTGAAGATCTGCAAACTGTGTTGCTTTAGAATGATACATGTTATGTCATAAATAGTGAAATAATCATTGATTTTTATTAACACAATATAATGACTTAGATATATAAATTAAGTGGGGTTTCTGTTTTCTTTATTGCCCATGTAGGCAGACGAGCATACAGCCCACCTGATGGTGAGTGGTTACCGTCGCTCATGGACATCAGCAATACTAGGGGCAGAGCCAAATAGCGATTTAGCATACAGTGTAATACTCTCCACAAGGGTCTTTTCAAGAAAGACATGTCATTCTTCTCAGTCGTATGCACTCTTGGCAGAGTAGTCGTGGTAATCACTTCGGGTGGCAGTGCGCTTTACCAGACGTCGCCATTCTTCGCGTACCGCGGCCTTTGTGCACTAATAGCGTATGACTCACCTGATGGTGAGTGGTTACCGTCGCCCATGGACTTTAGCAATGCCAAGGACAAAGCCAAGCCGCTGTCTACCGCTTAATACTCTCCACAAGCCTCGTTTGAAGAAGGACATGTCATAGCGCTCGGAAAACACCGTGGAGAGGAGCTCATTCCATAGCCGGATAGTACGTGGTAAAAAAGACCTCTGGAAACGCACTGTGGATGACCGCAGTGGCTCCAGGTAGTATGGATGAACTCTACACCAGTGGCGGGCGGTGCGATGGTAAAAACGAGATGACAGTATCATGTCGAACAATTCCTTAGAACACTCCCCATGGAACATACGGTACAAAATACAGAGGAAACCGAAGTCACTCCGCAGACCAGATGTATTTTCCAGCCGCCAAGAACAACAAATCAAATACTTATTGTTAAGGATCTCTAAATCCCCCTCCAAACAAGTTTTTATTCTCGCCCACCACCGAGCTTCACTTCATCGAGCGATCGCGAACGTATATACATCTTTAACGATTACATTATCTACTACAATATTCAACCTCATTATTATTTGTTCTTCAGTTTTTATCTTTTAATAAACCTGTAAATACGAGCCAAATCGTTTCATTGAAGAGAACAACAAGACATCCAGCAAGGAACACTTATTATAAAATAGATATAAAATCGATGCGTCGCTCTGGCGAAAAAGAGTTGGTGTCATGGCGGACGTCGCTCGCTGACATTTTGACGTTCAGAAATTGAACACGTTGCCTGTAATGCCAAAAAATAAAGAGCATTTATAAACATGGCAACTAGATAGAAACTAGTTGGTATAATATTAATCACTTAAGATATGTAAAAGTAAACAAAATCAAAAATATATTTCTCTAATCAAAGTCCTCGGTAGTTTCAAAAAGAATTTCCCGTGTTCACTTCGCAAAATATTTTCTCCACCACAAAGGAGAAAAATATTAAGTTATTTTCTAACAAGTCTTATTGCGGGAACGTGCAAGAGAAAGGTTGCTCAGTAACAGAATATATTATTATGAGCTCAGGTCACAATACTGTTGGATATTAAAAATATTAAACCTTGAGGAAACCGCTATCTCTCGCTTTTAGGGTTACCACATTTAAATCCTAGGCACAAATATTTCAATATTTTGAAGTTACGAAATTTTGTGAGACTTTTTATTAATTCTCAAGCAACTTATAGGTAGGTGTTCGAATCCCACAGGCAGATACTAATTTTTGTAATAAAATATTTATATACGTGTTTAATACATGTCCACGATGAATGAATAACATCGTGTAATTAAAATCAAACCCGCACAAATTGTATTATGGGTAATTACTAAACAATTGACCTCAAGCCTCAAAATGACGGCGTTTAAGTTGTGAAGTCTTGTAGTCCGGTAACCTAACCACTTAACATTAGGTGGGCTCATTCACCTGAATACGCAATGAAGAAAAGTTTTGAAATTAACAATAAGCATTTCCTTTTTTTGACATAATTTCAAAATGGCGTCACCTCGTCAGTAAAAATATTTATTCTTCATAAAAATCGTCGTCAAAATCTTTCATCATTGTGTGGATGCGATTTAAAAATAATCGTCCAAAGACCACCTATAGGGTTTTGGAGGATTATTTTTAAATCGAGGATTAGTTCTTCAATAATAAATGCTTTGGCTATGCAATGTCTCAATCAATTAATGTTATCTAAATGAGGTTTATGAGTGCAAACTAATTAATGAACATACAACAAGAAAGATTGTTTTGTTGTAATTAAAACCCGTATGGCTTAACCTCGCCTTTTTTTTAAATATTTTTACATATCATTAACATATTTTATTATATTGTAAATAAATAGCATACACTGAAATACAGATAGCAATAATACTCTAGAGTTTAATTGTCTCTATTTTTCTAATATAGAACTATTAGTTCCGAGTTTAAAACACTGGGCTCCTCTTTTTGTTCCTTATTATTACATCCACATACATATATTATATATTCTGGTTTTTTCTAAATATGCTACAGCTAACTCTTATCACGGAACGAATAATTGGGCAGATACTAATTAAAAATCAACAAAACAATAAATGGAACCGTAGTTCTCGGGTGAAAACGTGCACAAAAGCGGCGACATTTTAATCAAATACCACCGTGCCATTCGTTTCATATTGTTGTGTTCGTTTTTCAATGAATGAATGGAATAAGAGACTTATTTTTGACGTTACGATCCGCTATATTTTTCTCTGAACTGTAAAAAATGTGGTGCATAGATAACATTAGATAAAATGCCTTTAACGCACAGGTCGGCAACACTAATATATTAATTTCTATTGCTTAACTAATGACAATCCGATCTGTTCTAATCTCGAATAAAAAAAAAATAGAAATTCCAAATTACATGATGACTTCAATTCGTCAATTAATTCAACAAAACCTTATTTTGTTTCTAGAAAAAGAAACTTTTCAGTAAGAAACTTACTTCGCTGAATTACAAAACTACCTACACTTAATAGTAAATCAACAAAACCATTTCTCAGAGAAAATCTATAAAGGAAAGCATACAAATGTTTCCATGGCAACAAATATCCCTTAAAAATTCTTTTAAAAGAATAAAAATTGGAAAAGATGAAAAGGGCGATGGTAATACGAATTTTTTTTTCACCCAAATAAAAGAAGCCGAAAGCTAGGATCTCGTTATGTTATGACATGATTTCCCTAGAGATTCGAATATCGTTCTTATAAACAAACGTCGAGCGTTGAAAATCCCACTTAATCGAATAGGTGATTGGCGGCTTGTTGTGAAATATAAAAAATGGCAGGGGTTACCGTAAAACGACAGTAAATACAGACTACTCGTAAATTCGTAGCGATAAGAAACGTGATTTTTTAAATTCAAGCAATGAAATATTGGAAACAATCCTTGCGTTGTTTTTCTTTTAACGTTCACAATGCTTATCAAAAAAACTCTAAGTTGTTTTAAACTATATTGGAATAGTTTTATCGATCCAGTTCGTATACAGAACTAGATAGAAACCAATTAGCCCGGGACGAAACCACGTCCGAGCCATTAACCGTCAAAGTTTCCATAGTTTTAATACTGGGCGAATAGTTATAAAACTAGTAGGTATTCTCATTGCTCTATTGATCTATTTTTTCCAATAACTTTTTCCAAATTATCCTCCTATTTCCTAAACTGATTTCGTGTTGTCTGACCGCATGGGTCAGTGTGCTTAACGCGAGTTTTTTAACGTTCTCGATAGCGTAAAAGTTAACTTAAATTTATATGGAGTTGTAACGTTAGCCTATGTTTTCCACCAGGGGCGCTGTTCCAACTGCATACAATTTGAGTTAACTTTTACGCTGTCGAGAACGTTAAAAAACTCGCACTAAGCACACTGATACTGCCACACTGCCTATTTCTCTACGTTTTCTACGCATTAAAAATAAATGAAAACTTCGGCGTAATTTCTCGAAATGGACAACTTTCACGTTTTAGTGTGTATGGGCTGGATGATTGAACATAAACTTTTCCACTTAGTTACCCGTTTCTTTCGTTAAACAATGTTGTGTCCAAATTATGTTATTGAATAAGGCAATTCAGGGCGGTCCGCGTTAAGAAAGCAAAAAATATATTTTTTTAGAAGTCTATGTGCGCTTCTCAACGTAGTGTCAGAATCGGTTTCTCCAATTATCTGGTACATTGTTTATCTCAATGCAAGGAATGCTTTGTGAAATAAGATATTTATTATTATAAAACTGACTATTTATTAAATACAACTTCCTGGGAACATTCACTACCGGCAGTGTTATTATATCTATAACGTATTATTAAAATTTTGAATTTGATTTTTGATGACATTTTTTCTGTGTGTTACCGTGAATCCGAGAATGGTTTAGATACATAATTCGGCGCACTACATAAAAAAATAAATTAATTAAGACGTTTGTACTGGACGTCTGTCGGGCCCGCTAGTATCAGAATATGATTAATACGATAGTACCTAGCTCTATCTACGTTACGTTTTTACGTCCAAGCTCCGCCCAAAATAAACTTTGACCAAATTAAATATAGCTTGGAAATATTTTAGGCCCTGGGAAAAATATAGGACACCTTTCATCCCAATGCTGAACACAGATCTCAACCTACGCGAATAAAGCGTAGTCAACGCAGGCGATATAGTGGGAAACAGCTATTATAGAATATGATATGCACTCAAAAAAAAAGATGTGTGGTGTCGTGGGACACCGGATAGGAACGGAGTTCCTTATTATAAAAATATTAATTTTAAGTTCTATTGGAGCATTAAAGAAAATAAAACTGGCGGTTTCACAACAACCCACGCCCATTCGGTAACGTGCGAACTTATTGTGGTACACTTCATTCACGGTTGTTTGCATAAGGGTCAGTGTATTGCGCAAACGAACGCTCTGAGATCGTGGTCAATGAATGATAAAAAATATGTTACTTTTTGTACGTTATTACAAAGTTAAGTCGTACACTGTGTACATTACTAATAAAAATCTTACGTTACGGACGTTTCTTCCCGGTTAGGGTACCCCTCCGCGTCGTCCCATAAGAAACTTCGTTCCAACAATTTATATAAAATCAAGCTAAGGTAATCTTCTTGAATTCCAGGTTAATGCGCGAAGAAGAATACAATATACTCCAGAATCTATCCCGGGATGAGTTTCGCGAATTTCGTACGCTTGTGATCGATATGGTGCTGGCGACCGACATGTCCTTCCACTTCCAGCAACTGAAGAACATGAGATCGCTTCTGTCCCTCGCAGAGCCAACCATAGACAAATCGAAGGCTACATCTCTGGTGCTCCATTGCTGCGACATTTCGCACCCTGCTAAGGTAAATATCACGTTTTTTTATGGAAATACTTTGGAAATAAACTATAATAGATACCGAATAAAGGTCTCGGTCTTCTATTTCATTGCAATATACTGAGACGAGTGAAAAAAAAAAGGTTTTTTTTCTCTCTTCTCGCAGTGATGGAGTTCGAACAACTTTACATTCACACATTCATGGAGTAGTTTGGTTTTTCTTCTTCTGCGATCGGTCATCAGTTTGTCATTACCGTGCTTAGGAATTATAAAATTTATTTTCGTGAGAAAGTTAATTTAGAAAATAAGCTTACTTAAATAGGTGTAGTTATTGTTGATATTAATAACTCGAAGATGCTGTCACTCCATACACATAATATCGTCTAATAGCACGACTAAAGAGAACATTATAGCATTATCTATATCTATACTAATATATAAATCTACAGTGGTTTTTACGGATGTTCCGTTATAACTACTGAACCATGCATCCGATTGACTTGAAACTTGGTATCCATATAGAAAATACAGGTACTTAATGGATAGGTTAATATTTACATGAGTGTTGGACTCCCTAATAATAATGACAATAAATAATAATGTTAATTTTAAATGCCCAGCGAAGCGGGCGAGTACAGCTAGTAGTTTACCAAACCAAATACTTAAATTTTCTTAATACTCCATACACGCTTTCAATGTTACAGAGATGGGATCTCCACCACCGATGGACAATGAGTCTCTTGGATGAGTTTTTCCTCCAAGGTGACAAAGAACGAGACCTTGGTTTGCCCTTTAGTCCGCTCTGTGACAGAAATAATACTCTAGTGGCGGAATCCCAAATTGGTTTCATTGAGTTCATCGTGGAGCCCAGCATGGGAGTTTGTGCAGACATGCTGGAATGCATTTTGGGGCCTCTGCACTCCGGCAATAAATCCGGAACTAATGCAGCGACTGAACCGACTATTGATGAAAATTCCGGTAAGTAAAATAGATACAAAATACCCAGGTTTTGTAACTTCAAAGTTCCGTCTCGGTCGGTGCTTTTTGGTAGAATTTTACATACATTTCATACAACCCTGATATGAAAGATGATCTGGTAGTATAATAAATAGTTTTTCAAATAAAGAAAATAAAAAGCGTGTTAAAAAAGTGTGTGTGTGCAAGTCATTTTATCAAACTTATGGCCATGTATCTTTGTTCAATTACAAAAAAATATCCACTGGCAATTTATAAATTTAGTAAACATTACAGGCGCCGAGAGTGTTAACAAGTTCAAGATAAGGAAACCTTGGATTACCTGTCTCAGTGACAATAAGAAGATATGGAAGGAGCAGGCTACTAAAGGTAACTAAAACTCCCTCTTTCTCCTACCCTATCTAGTTCGTGACAGCCAGACCTTCTTGAATGGTTAAAAAGTATGCTTTTGATTTATGTTTCGAATATTAAAATTAATGAGAAGATCGACTAAGATTTTGGGATGAGGATACTTATCAAGGTTATGACGGCCGGTGAAGCAGACGATTCTTGAGTGAAGTCAACGAACTGGCAAACATAGTGGGTCGCCTCTTGGTTAGGTGGAACGATTACTTGCGAAGGGTAGGCTACCAGAAATTGATGAGGAAAAGCCGAAGCCTAAACATTCATGGCTTTTTTAAATAATTCTCTCTAGTTAATTGAGAAAAGCCTGAAAGTATATATGCGCAGCGGTGTCACAATTAAGTAAAGACAGATCTTAAGACACACCTTAGATACCTAAGCCTTTGACAAACAACTGTCTACAAAATAAACTGTTAATATCCAGACGCCGAGGCCCGAGCCAACCAGGAGCAGGAGGAGAACATAGAGGTTCAGCCTCCACCAGAAGAATAATATTTAGCCACATTTGTAAATAGCGTTAGAACTAGTTGTTCGAACATGCTAAAAACGCTATTGAAAAAATAGTAAAGGACCTGTGCTTGAGTGTGCAAAGACGCTTTATGTTCGNTCTACAAAATAAACTGTTAATATCCAGACGCCGAGGCCCGAGCCAACCAGGAGCAGGAGGAGAACATAGAGGTTCAGCCTCCACCAGAAGAATAATATTTAGCCACATTTGTAAATAGCGTTAGAACTAGTTGTTCGAACATGCTAAAAACGCTATTGAAAAAATAGTAAAGGACCTGTGCTTGAGTGTGCAAAGACGCTTTATGTTCGTTGCTCTTGTAATTGACGTTTTAATAACGCACAAATGTGATTCGATAGCACAATGCGTTTAAATGTGTAGGACGTAGGTGTATTTATCTATGTGGAAGACAACATAGTGAGCGAATCGGAAAGGCGAAATCCCGCTGAGCGGTGAATGCCATTAGTGTATTTAATGCTAAGACCCATTCTAGCGTTTAAGTTTTAGAGCTTCGTTGAGAAATTTTAATATAGGACGGAAGATAACCGCTCCCGAAATTAAATAAGGAAAGCATTTTTTCCTTCTCTTTCTCCTAACTAGCCAAAACCTGAAAACCACAAACATATTTCGTTTTAGTAAGGTCAAATTTTATTAACCAATAATCGAAAGTGAACTTTTTGGCGTCATTAGAGTTCGTTGCTCCGTGCGACAGATGGATTATATTGCGCGGGTATATTAAAAAAAACTTCAATACTGGGCATTTCATTTGATCGCGATTTTTAATTATGACCATATCAAAAATGATAGAAACACCTTCTTTTCGTATTCGGGAACGTTTGTCTTCCTCCAACATGAGTATAATTGCGATAGCTTAAAATATTTCCCACGACAAACGCATAAGGTTTAGAATTTTTTCAGAAAATTTATCAAAATGCTTTGCTCTAATAAATATATAGAAAATGATCAGTAGCTAATCGTTTGTATTTAGATTTTAATGTTTTAACTTATTAATGATAAAAAATATCAGATGCTGGTGACGGAGCAAATAATGTAGTGAGCACTGAGGCACTCTTCATTCAAATAATAATTTATAATCGTTCATAAAACTCATAATGTATTCTAACAATTGTGTAGCTTAATGTTAGTTATAAATCTTAACCCATATGAAAAATACGCTTATTAATTTTAATGTTTCCGATTAAATTGGAGTCTTGATATTCCTGACCAAATGTTATTTATTAATATTAATTATGTTTTAGGTAATAACGCCATCTCAAATACTAGACGTTAAGTAGATAGACGTTACCTATTATTATATCTATAGATACTTTAAATTATATCATTGTATTTCGAAACAACACCTTTGCTACTTATTTTACAATTAACTGATATAGATGTAGTTTAAAATATACTCGATACTTTTTTCAGAAACAGCTCCTTCTCAAAGTGAGTTTTGTCCTATGAAACTTAAGGAATATATTCGACTGATTGGCTTCAAATTAGGCAAGGGTACACAAAAGATATAGCAAAATATGGAGGACTCTAGCTATTTTTGCCGTCCTTTGCGTGCGACCTAATGCGTGGTAGATACCTATTAATAAAACATTGAATTTATATTGAAACAAACGATAAGATTTTAGGGAAAAACAATTGCCAAAATTTAAAACTTAAAAACACAATATCGTCTGAGGCCTATTTTTCCTGGTACACACGTGGGACCATTCTCATTGAATATCAGAAAATAACGCCATAATCACATAAAATATTAGGTCCCTATTTATTTCAGGGAAAGTATTGATATATTATATGTCAACTGGTGACGCTTACCGTAGATAATATTGAATTTTTTTAAATATTTATCGTCTATTTTGAAAAAAAAAAAAAACATTTAGAGCAAAATTAGTCTATGTAACCTTAATAGATTAAAAATTATGTAAACGTATTCGAAATAATAATTCATTGATGTGTGTATTTCTGGTAAAGCCATTTTAATTGGGGATATAGCTTTATAAAATGTAGTTGTTAGTATATACTGAGCCTTATGTAAACGTTTATTGATGTTTCTGTATAAATAGCTTGCTATAGTACTTTATAGATTACTATGTTAACCGTGTTGTATTGGAAGACACGTAATTCTGTTGATCTTTTGTAAAAATATTTCTGAATATGACTCGAANTGTATTTCTGGTAAAGCCATTTTAATTGGGGATATAGCTTTATAAAATGTAGTTGTTAGTATATACTGAGCCTTATGTAAACGTTTATTGATGTTTCTGTATAAATAGCTTGCTATAGTACTTTATAGATTACTATGTTAACCGTGTTGTATTGGAAGACACGTAATTCTGTTGATCTTTTGTAAAAATATTTCTGAATGTGACTCGAACATTCCGACTTAAGTGTTTTAGTTGTAATGTCCGTATTTAGGGCAGTTTTAAATTATGATATGTACGTAGTCTTAAACAAAATCAATTTAAGATGCAGATACACCCAATTGTTAGATGTTTAGTGGTCATGCTATTTTAAAAAATAATGGTTATGAAGTCAGCGGTGGGGTATTTTTCAAGATGACCAGTCTAAAACCAGGAGGTATGGCGAAAAATACTGAATGTACCTACTGTGGTTTTCAATCGACTTTGCACACACGATAAATAATCGTAATATCATTATGTAAAAAAATTCAGTACCTACCTATCTACAATAAATTATAAATATTGACAAATCAATGACTACGAAAAACGTGAATTCATGTTTCTTTTTTAGTTAGGAGAATAATGAAATAATAATCCCTATATAATATATGTATATGTAATCTAATAATATAATATATAATAATAAATGAAAAATTATATCCGTAACATAAACTTGATTACGGACCATGGAATAACACTGATTTTTGTCAATAGGTCCCATTGAACATTTATGTCTGTCTATGCTCACAATACTGCCAACAAAACAAAATGCGGTCAAGCAGTACCACTGCCACCACACACACTTCAATGCTAACAACCTTACCCGTGTACAGTATACGCGCGATTTCATGTCCATCGGGAGCCAGAGGCGACGCGCGGGGGCAGCTCGCCCCGCGTTTGTCTGACGTCTAGTATTGTCTTTGACAGTTGTGACGCGCGCTTATCGATACCGAAAATTTACGCTAACGCTATTGTGTTAATTCATGGTGAATAAACCATGACTACTCCGCTTCCAACAAGTTCAGGTAGAAAAAAACCTACACTGGTTCGGACTCTGATCTGTCGGTTGTCTTTTCATCTGATAGTAATTGAATTGGAATTTATAAAATATTTTTCTCTATTATAAGTAAATAAGTAATTACTTATCACATTTATTTTATAATTTGCAAAATGACCTAGTTACATTAAACCAAATTGACAGCTGTTGACTAAATCGGTAGTTATTATCGACATTACCATAATTAACTAGGTCACAGGTAGTGCATTCCTCAGGATGGACATGAACTCGCGCGCCTACTGTACCTGTGTATCATCACAGCCGTTATTTTAAAATACAATCTAAAACAAAAATAATAAAACGTTCATTTTTCATTTACACCATAGCGTACCTCCTCTTCCTCGCCAACAATGTCTTTAAAAATTAGTTTCTAAAAAATCACAAACGCAATTGTCCACAGATCTTTCAGTATTTTTTGACATTCTTCCCACTTCAAGGTCGGTCTTACGCGTCCACATGAATAATCAACACTATATAATATTATACATAAGTTTTTTCACTATATTTTGGCTATATTCGCTGTGCTGCGGCTTGGTTTAAATCATATAGAATTTATAATAGGAGACTGTATTCCGCAATTTAGGTATTCACTATGTACTTACATGAATTTATTTACCCACTAACAATGTCACTTTTAATGTAATGTATTTTAAATCTTTGAAATCTCATGTACTAAGTTTAGTAGAACGTTAGGTTCGTCTTTGTGTAAATAATAAAAAGAACAACTTTTATTTATGTGTAACTTTATCATATTATTGTATAAAATAAACATTTTTCGTAGAAAACTTTGTTTTATTTAACTTCCTTAAAAACTGCAATCATTAATGCAAGGCTGATCAGATTTCAACTAAATGATCAGTCATTGCAACTTAACACCATACGTATTTTTAATTACTGACAATAAAAAATAAAACTATCGTTATCTGTTGATGTGAATTAAAAATAACACAGATTGTTTTGAACATCTGGGTCTATAGTGGAACTTCACTTCTCTCTTATTCTGTATCACATGCCCCCACGGGACGTACTCTGAAGAAACATCCAGTGATCCATTCTTCTCCTTTTTATTATCACACTTCCCATTAGCAGAGCTGAATTTGTCCATATTATCCAGAACCATTGCTTTTATCCACAGTATGTCAGGAAAACTTTTTTACTATGTACCACCATCTTACTGGAATGAACTCCCCTTCAGTATTTCCTGACCACTGATTATATGTCCTTCTTAAAACGAAGTTAGCAAAGTCCTCAGCAGTAGGCAGTAGGTTTGCTGAGCCCCTGGATATGCTGATGTCTATGAACAAGTGTGACTACTAACAATAAGGTGCTGATGCACCCGATGCCATGCTCACTACTTTAGTACAAAAGCAATATAGATTAATAAAAAAAAACTAAATTAATCCTTCAAAAAACTCAGCTGATTGAAATACTACAAAACAATTTTTCAGTAAATATATTGAACCATTATCACCAATTAATTCCTAAATGAAATATCAAACTGTATTATCAAAGTTAACTTTCTTAATTTATTTTAATAAAAGAATTGGTGGCATTTAATATTACGAAAATTACAATAGACACTTTTATTAGTATTTTCTAACTTAGTATATATTTGTGAATTTTTCCAAATATCTCTATCTGCACAGATAATGCTCGGACATCTGTTTTTTGCCTATTACAAATTATAGTGCCAGTTATAACACTGCCTTGTTTAACCTCTTTACAATCTCTTAAATAAAATACAGTTTGTTTCCAGTGTGTGGGTGTTGAATGAGGACCTGTTGAAAATGACACACTATTGGGCAGATCAAAAAACGTATCAAAATATCCTACTAAAGATGTCAAATAACCATCCCTTAGAATCTCCAATTTAAATTCTGATGTAAAATCCATTACGGTAGTATCACAAGTACTAATGTCTATTTCATTTATAACATATGGTTGAGACAATATATATTTAGATGCAACTACATCTATACTGGCCTCTCTTACTACTTCAGATTTCATACAGTTCATTTTAAAACCATAAACATCAGACCAAAAATCTATTAGCTTCTTGTGTGTATCAACATCACCATTTGCTACAATACTTATGCTACATCTATTAGGCATTAACAAACCACCTGACTTCAAACAGTTATCTCTGGCATATATTACACTATCCAGCATTCCTTCAAATAATAAGAAGTATCCCATCCACTCAGAAACTAATACATCAACTTTTTCTTCAAGTTTTGTTTCTTCCAGTCTACCTTTAATTGTCTTTATTACATTTTGTAAATTGTTTTCTGTTATTATATCCATTGCATGGTATATTATATCAGATTGGTCTAAGGCATAAATTTTTTTGGCACCCGCTAATGCAGCAAACATTGACAGTATTCCTGTGCCACAACCAAGATCAAGTACAGTCTTCTCTCTTAAGGTTTCTTTATTTTTTAAAATGGCATCACGATATGTTTCTGTTCGTACTTTATCTGAGAGCATATCGTAATGAATTCCAAAGTGTGCATAAGTGTTAAAGTATCCTTCATCACACTCTATAGGAATACTCGCGACACAACTTGTTTTATTTTTTACTTCACAACTTGAGGACTGACCACCTTCAACTAATGTTTTCATTGAATCTTGCATTTTGTTTATATCCTCCTTGGCCATTTGCAGATGAGTTTGACTCTCACTTAACTGTTCGCTCAATGTTTGTATGGTTTTTTGTAATTCAGTAAAATGTCCCTGAGAAAGAGTAACAACACCATTCTCAACATTGGCATGGTATGTTTTGGGGGAATTAGGTTTTTCAGATACAGAATCGAAGTCGAATGTGAGCCATTCGTCATTCTCAACAGGTTTCAAATACTTGTCGTCGTTCCAAGGCGGGTGCTTAATTTTCATAACTTCTTCAGCAGTTGGCTTGTTTGTCTTTATGTAGTTTATCATTTTTATGTATGAATAACAGTCCATATTAAACTTGAGCTTTAGAATACTTAAAGAGAATTTATGCGAAGTTTCACAGTGGGCCAAAGCTTCTTCCACAGAAGAAATCAGCTCTGAACAAAACAAGCATGTTACCGACACGTTACTGGTTTCCATTTCTTGCCATTCTTCCTCGTCAAAATGCTCTTCGTCACTACTAAGATCTGGTACATCCGACATGATTAAAAATTATATTGAATTAAGGACAACACGTTTATATGTTCAGCGTAAAATCAATGGGAAATCTTCTTGAAGTAAAATTTATTCCCCAATCGGCAGCATGTGAATATTGACATTGACATTAGACATTCAAATTGTTTGTTTGATTTGTTCATTAAATCGGCAAAGGGAATATTGCACATACTTTTAGTTTTTATAACAAAGACCGAAGCCTTGTTTGTTATGTTAAAAGAAAATAAACCGAAATTACATGAAAGAAAATGAGATAAAGCAAAAACATATTAAGAAATAACCTCTTAGTAAAATTATAAAATATTGATGAGTTCATTTGAATTTTTAGAAAATAGAAAAGTGTAATTCAGTGATTATGATAAATTTTCCCAAATCTCTTAATTTTGTGTTTTTACAATTTAAACATATTATATTGGCTTTTTAACTATCGGAAACCATATAAATCACATTATGAATGACACCATCGTTTTACGGATTTATAAATACAATAAAAGTTCCGAAACTCAACTTTCGATTCTCCATAGCAAATTTTTGTGGTTATTGGCCAATTACTGATTATTACATCATAGCAAATATTCACCATCAACAATTTGACTTAACAATTAATCACACAAATTAGAACAATTATTTTTAGGTCACACAAAATAGTTTGTTGTATTTGCGTATCCATGGCAACGTTCTATCTAATCGTGTATTTTCTGGACTAATTTCATTTATTTAAGTGCGGTGTAGCATTTTTCCTATAGTAGAAGAGTACATTATACTTTTTTTATTATTAATTCAATCTCTGTACAAAATCAACAACTCACTGATCCAGAATGAAATTTAAAATTTCCTCCCACAAGGAACCAAAACACACCGGTGTAGTGGTTTGCGTTTGTTGGAATAATACAGAGGACGTATTTTCTTGCGGGTAAAGGAAATAGGATAAGAAAAGTGAAATAACAAATAAAAATGCTTTGCCTTAAATATTTATTTTTAATTCTGTATTGATATACTTTCCAGAGACGATCATAAACTATTAAAGTGGAATTTAGTTAATAATGAATGCTTGCCGGTAACTACTTTTCCTGATGATTTCTATCCGACTAGCATGCACTTATTTCCTAAAACTAGTCTAGGAGGCAGTAAACATCAACATGATGTCATATTGATTTCTACAGCTGATGGCAAGTAAGTTTCCTTTTTTAATTAATGAATAAATAGTAAGAATTTATGATCATGAAATTCACTAGGTTTGGATCTACAGATAGGCCTTGGCCCGATTAAATTAATCTTCCATTTATTTCATTCCATAGCTTGGACAACCTATTGTTTTTACGTTTCTAACTACGTATTTCAACCATTTAGACGTCCACGATTCCTTTGATTTTCCAACTTTCTCATTATGAATACCTGCAGGTGTCTTAAATTGCCAATGTTCATGATCCACCCATTATTGCAATCGTTTATTTTTTATTGATTCTGATATTAGTAGAATGTAAAATAAAATTTCTAGATTTCATATAGTAAATCACAATGGACGTATAGAGAAATCGGTGCCCGCTCACGAGGGGGCCTGCCTCACAGCAAAGTGGAGTCCAGACGGAGCGGGTCTTCTAACAGGTATTAAAATTATTAGTCGTTTAATATAGCTGTTAATTTATTGATCATCTTCTTGACTATATAGTATAAAACAAAGTCGCTTTTTCTGTCCCTGTATCCCTATGTATGCTTAAATCTTTAAAACTACGCAACGGATTTTGATGCGGTTGATAAAGTGATTAGAGAGGAAGATTTATATGTATAATAACATCCACTAAATAGTAGAGAAATCAATAATAAATTATAGTTTCCGAAGCGAAGCGAGGGCGGGTCGCTAGTTTAGGATAAAGAACCTAAACCAATGGATAAAAATAAGCAATGGTGAGACCTCCTTTATCCATTATATTCAGACAAGAGACTCCCGCTGTTCTACTGCTAATTAATTTACAATGAGAATGAATAACTGATGCTCTCTCATTAAAATTTTGATAACCTTACTGACATCGATTCACGATGACAATCAATAATGTCCAAATGACCGTCTCTTTGACTAGATATTTATATCTTACTAGCTGACCCGGCAGACTTCGTAATGCCTCAATCGATAAATAAAAGACATATCTAGGGGACACATCAAAAGAAAAACAAAATTGTTTGTTTTTATATAATTCCGAGCTTTTTTATATTTTCTCACCTTTCAAACCTTCTCTGGACTTCCACGAATAATTCAAGACCAAAATTAGCCAAATCGGTCATACATAGGTATACCCCGCCCTCTATCCCCAGTGGAGGGTGGGAGTTCGGCGATTTCATCCTAACCAAAAAAAAGCTTTTACGCTACCGAGAACTTTTAAAAAACTCCCACTAAGTACCTATAGTATGCCTAGCATACTGGTTACATTGAAACCTTTCCAACATCAAATACATAGAAGGTAGTTAGCACAATTTTCAAATGTCGACGAATAATACTGTACTCCTTACGAACATCCAATCTATAAAGTAATCAAAATGTCGGAAACAATAAAATTAAAACACTAAGCGCGAGATTAAAGCAACGATTAGAAATTCGCACATGGTAAACTGTAGTACCTATCAATAAATTCAGAAAACAAAAACATTTTTTGTTTAAAAATTTTTTAAGCCGGCGAAGATGGTTTTGTGAAGATTTGGTCTCGCAACGGTCTCCTTCGTTCAACATTGGTTCAATCCGATGTGCCATGTTTCGACGCCGTCTGGAGTCCAGACAGTAACGCTATATTGCACACAAAAGAAAACTTTCTCGTTATCAAGCATTTGAGTTCGAGCAGTAAAATTGTTAAGGTAATCCAGTGAGATTTAATTCAAATTATAGTGTTCGAGATTAGTTTCAGGGTATTTTTTTTTGTTATCTGTCTATATTATTTATTAACTGTTTGTAAATTATATTGATTGTTTCCTGTGCATTTTTATAGTTAATCCTTTACCTATATTAACTATAATATTTCTTGTAAATCGTTTCAGTGGAAAGCTCACGATGGTCTCATTTTGTGCACGGCTTGGAACGCAAATAACAATTTGGTTGTTTCCGGGGCTGAGGATGGTTTTACTAAGGTTATTTATTTAATTTTAATTTCGTTGCTTATTAGTCTAGTAGACTGATTAGTAAAAGACGGTAGACTATAATTAGAGCCTAGGTATATACAATCCAGTATATGTGTACACTGCTGTGGGAAATATACTTGCATCTTCGATGACTTTTAGTATAACAGTTGTTTGACCTCCCTATCCTTCAAACTAGAACACAATATGATTGTTTCACGGTAGAAACGGGCAGGCTGCTGTATCTCCGAGGATACCGCATTGTCTCCACCGGTCACCGTCCTCGTCGAGCGAATAAACCCACAGTCACAGCCCACTGAGTGTCTTACCGGATCTTCTCAGTGGGTCGCGTTTTCGATCCGGGCGTAGTTTCTGCGAAGCACTGCTCTTGCTGGGGCCAGTGTTAGCAACACTCCGGTTTGAGCCCTGTGAGCTCACCTACATGATAGGGCGAAGCTGAAATAGCCTTTCAAGGCTATCAGCACAGGTAGAAAAAAAAAACCGCGGCGTGCATTCTCGCGCCTTAGGTTCCAGGAAGGCGTCCTTTCTTAGAGACGGAAGCGCTCGCCACTGATTATACATGGCGATAGGACGCCCGTGACAGGAGAAAACCGACGATGGTGAGCTACTAGGCTCGGTCGAACTAGACTAATTTATTGGCTGCGAAGAGGCACGGTCGAACACTTCGCGGACTTCCTTGCGTGGTTGGAGAAATGCCGTGTCCTTATCTCGCAAATAAGACCCGACTTGTCATCGTCTAACATCGTGACTACGCTGAGACCAGGAGTTGGCGAAGAACTTTTGTTCGACTCCAAGCCCCGCCTTTAGCATCTTCGGCCATTAAGTGCCACATACTACCGAAAAATATCTATTGGTACCTACACAGCGCTGTTTAAGTATGTGTGTGTATTATTTGTTCCTCAATAGTGGACGCAGGATTCCTATGTAACTACCTACTATAGTTTCATGTGGTCGAACAATATCGCTGCGGTTTTCATTATAAATTACAGTAATAATAAATACCGTAATAAAGTGAAATGTATTCATGATTACACGTCGTGTTATCAATATTTTGATAATAGTTAATGATACCCGAAGAAGCAGTTGTCATGTCGTAGTGCTGCGGAAATACGGATATCGTAATTTAATAGGACCAGAAGTCCCCAAAATGTTTTCTGATCTAATTATCGTAAGCACAATGTATTAAGGCAGCCCCTCTTTTGAAATTTTGTATTCAACGGTCGCATTGCCAGTTAGATACCTGCCTACCTACTGCCTGACTAGGATTTTCTCATTACGAAAATCTCTGTGCAACTTTGGGTATCACTGGGAAACACAAGTTGTTATTTTATTTTCTTCATTGTAATAATATCTTTGGAAACTGAGCCTTTGCAATTTATGGAATTTTTAATTTCTCGAATAGATTTGGGATACGTTTGGTCAGCAAATCTCGGTGAGCGTGAAACATGACCAGCCAATCACCAGCGTCAGTTGGTCTCCAGCCGGCGACATGTTCGTTGCGGGAAGTTTTAATTTGACACGTTTGTGCAATGCTAATGGTGTGAGTATTTATACAATCTATGTATGACAGATGTAGAGAAAACCCCCTGATTTGATAGGGGAAATTGTGTAGTTTTTCAGAGTACATTATCGCGAATAATTTAGGAGAGAAGACGGATATTTAATTTATTTTGCTATAATAAAGCTATTCACCAACTTTAATTTTTTTTTGTGTTACGCTGCGCTGTGTCTCTATAGAAAACACACATTCTAAGTCGAAATTTAAATATTAATAAAATCAAAGAACTTCCCTATAAAAGTTATTTTTGTTCAAGTGGTCATACTGCTTGGATCGTCCATCAACCGGCAGTATATATGACATCGCCTGGTCCATGGATGGTACCCAGTTGGCTGCGGCTTGTGCCAATGGCCATGTCATATTTGCGCATATTATTGACAGGTAAAACGATAGTAAATCAATTTGTTGGACTAGTTTTAATTTTATTATACTATAGGACTTTTTTTGTTTATTGAATACTAGAAATTCTAAAATATCTGTAAGAAAGATAATCTGTTCGGTTTTTTTATTGTTGAATACGGAACCCTAATTTATTGTTTTCGGCATAAAAATTACCTTAAAATATAATATTACGTCAGAAATTGTCGCAATATAGATACCGTCAAATCAAATGAGCCGCTTTGGAGATTATCCATAATTAAAACCAGACAGAAAAAGAAACTATCACTTGAGCTTGAAAAAGGTCTTAAAAAAATAAGACTAAATCAAGAAATCACAGACACAACCACTTAACAATTAGATTACTTATATCTACAAATATCGATGGATACAACAATTCTTTAAATGCGGTTTGAAGAAAGACCAGAGCGATATTAAAGTTTGGGTGAAAAAATATTGATGCCGTCCTTACCTAATTAAAATTTACAAGGATTAAAAATTTCAGAGAATACACATGGAAAAACTACTCCTGCACACAAATTGGTCGAAAGGTCATTTCTATCAAAGACATAGTATCAGAAGAGAACGACCAGTTGGATTATCCAGATCGAGTTATACAAATAGCGTTAGGCTTCAACCATTTAGTCGTAGCTACGGTCAAACAGTGTTTTATACACAAACTGAGCTCTTGGAATACACCAGTGACTTTCGATCTTAAAGAAGGCACTGTAAGCATGATATTACTGTCCGAAAGGTAAGCAAATCTGGCGAAAAAGTATTTTAGGTAGAGCATCCAGAATTAGTGAATAATAATAGTTTGCATATTAACGAATACATTCGTATTTTTTAGTACTAGCAAATATTTTATTTCAATTGAAAAGATAGATATCATTGCCACTGGTTGCTCTTTTAAATAAATAGATATACACGAAAATAAACAGATGTGAATATTCGCGAATATTATTTTCTATTTACATTAGTTTTTTAGATTATTGCCGTTCACCTACACCCTGGTTATTCTGTGGTAGGAACCAGGTTTGCTGGTAATAGCCTAACAAACTATGATCCTCTAAGATTTTATCTCTGTTGCCAAATATTATCTATCAACAATTCAAATTATTACAGATGCCTGTGCGTTGTAGAAAGAGCTGGAATTTCAGTTTATAGTTACATGGGCAGGTTGTTGGCAAGTCCTCGTTGTGGTGGTAGACCCGAGACTCTTGGCAAATCCTCTGTGTCTTTAGGACCCGATACATTGGCTGTCGTTGATCAAACCGATCGCAAATGTAAGTAATCCATCAGTTTAACGTTTCGAAAAATTTCTGCATTCTCCACAAACAGTTTTTATTTAATGTTAAACGCTGAATAATTGTGACAAGTAATGGACTATGACCGACAAGTACATAGGTATGAAATCTCGTTTAACACATATGCGTTTCTCAAACTTTGTCCCCTATTACTAGGGGTATCATTGTCATTTTTTCTCCACATAAATAAGATAGTGATCTATATGTAGTGACATTCTATAGTAGAACTAATTAAATTTTTAAAGGCATACTTAAACTAACAGTTATCACTTCTAAAATTACAGCTCTAAATATCCCTTCAATTCTTCCATACTAGTCATACGAGTACTGGTCATAAGAAATATACCTAATATTGATTTCATGTCACTTTCTCAGTTTTATTAGCTCGTGATTTTCGAGTCCGATTAACTTGAAAATTTGCACACGTATCAAAGAGCGGTGATAATACAATAATTTTACAGCTTTACTCTAATATCCTGACCGGTGAGGGTATAATGCAAGATGAAATTAATGTTTGTTAGTGCGGTTTGCTATTTGAGCGCGCCTTTTTAGTTTTAAACTGCATTTATTTACTTAATATTCTTTTTTGTCTATAGTGATTCACGTTTTCGATCTTCCAACCGGTCTCATTGTGCGTAGTTCAACAGACAGCACGGTAACCAAACTCAACCACAAAATGACAGTGTCAACTATTGCTCTGAGTCAGACAGGACCAATTAACGACAGACAAATGGCTCTTTTGGACTACAATAAAGACCTATACGTAGTCTCCGTGAAAGATGTTAAGCCGAAGTTCGTTAAATTAGGTGAGTGATAAAATCGTCAATAGATATACCATGCGACAACCAAGTTTCTTCAAAGATTTTTGGAATCATTCTTGCAGTTTTTATTATTTTGTGTCACATATTTCTTTCTCAGTTACGTATCTTAAGCATAGTGTTTAAGGAGTGATTTTTACGAAACGGTTAAAAACAGAAATAAATATGCTTAGTCCAATTACTTACGATAGAACATAAGTACCACTTACCTCTAGACTACTCTAGACTTATCTTAAAGATCAATCTGTAACTAATTATCAATTGAAACTGGCGGATGGGATAGCTGAACGCTTAGACGTCACTGTTCGAGATTATAATATTATTGATTCTCTAATTTCCTACTTAGCTACGTGTTTCCCTAATTCCTAGTTTCATCTAGTACCTAGTAGATGCCAGCTAATTGGGGGTAGATGTCGCCAAATATTCGGTACTTTCCGATTTGGATGGGGATAGATTCCAAAGCAAATTGAGAGATTGTTTCCAAAGCTCACCACATTTTTAGATATGCAGGTGTATTCATGTTGTGGTACCCATAAGCTCCAGTTATCGTATAGCACCAAGAGAGTCATGAGTTCGGCGACATCGTAAACACTTATAAAAATCCCGCCTTGGCTCAATCAGGTTTTGAATAGATAATTTATTTTTTGTGTTTCAATATTCGATCAATAACCTGAACTAAGGCTTCAATTTAATATAGCTATAATTTTAATATAGCATATATTTTAATATAGCAAGGCTATAATTTAACTGTGGAATATTGAATTATAGTGTACCTAATTATTTCTTCAAGGATCTCAAGTACTAAGCGTCGTTTGGAGCTCAGAGACAGAATTGCTAGTTGGACTACGCGCCAACGCCATTGTGGCTTGGTGCTGCCCTAGGGCTGTCCAATTAGACTGGCTGGTTCTTACTACTGTCAGTAAGGAAGTCACGTAAGTGACATTGGTTTATTACATATTTGTAAATGTAGAAGGAATTCGCTGATTGTAGGTCGCTTTTGCATCGGATGTCTTGGCGCTAATATCAGAATACCTAATACCTAACCATTTTTATGAAATTATGGCATAGCAATATTTATCTTTTTATTTTGTGTGAAAATAAAAACTTTTTTACTGTTGGTAGGATCTTTTGTGAGTACGCGCGAGTAGGTACCACCACCCCGCCTATTTCTGCCGTGAAGCAGTAATGCGTTTCGGTTTGAAGGATGGGGCAGCCGTTATAACTATAGTGAGATCTTAGAGCTTATATCTCAAGGTGGGTGGCACATTTACGTTGTAGATGTCTATGGGCTCCAGTAACCACTAAACACCAGGCGGGCTGTGAGCTCGTGCACCCATTTAAGCAATAAAAAATATAATAATTTGATACTAATTTAAATAAACATATTTATTTTCCTTTAAATCTGAAAAAAAGTAACTTTTGGGTAAAACATGTCTACCGAATTAATTATGATTCAAGATAATTAACATTAGAGATAGCAAGAGAAATTAGCGTAACAAATTTGTCTCATACCAGTTTTTAACAAACCTGGCATAATTCCCTTTAATGATTACGAGCTATAAATCTTATTTATTTTTTGACGTATAATCGAAATCGACCTCAAAGCTCATTTGGTGTTAAACGACGACCGAAACTTATAGTCACGCTTGAGATATCAGATTAAATTTTTGAACAACCCTGCTATCGTCGCGTAATCCAACAGAACGTGACACGGTGAAAGATTCCCTTTAGACTTCAATCTAAGAAATACACATGATAATCGCTGAGTTGAATCAGACCTAAAACTGTTTTTAGGGATCTGGGACGCAACCCGTGTATCCTAAGCGAAGAAGATGGCATCGTTCGTATATGTAAGGGTAATGGCTCGGTTGTTCACATATCAATCGCAGCTTTCCAAGAGAAATTACTGAAGTATGTGTCAACGAACATGTGGCAGGCTGCTCTACAGGTAAATTGGTGTGGGATATCTGTTTTTTTTTAGCATACAAAACTCATTAATACATATAATTTTCTCATCATCATAACTTAATTAAAACTGCGACAATTTAAAAACTGAAATAATATTTCATTACTGAAAAGACTTCCAGTGCACAACTATATAGAGCTCTTATGCTCGTAATAGCCAGGCCGTAGCTCTTTTTAGTCTTTAGAAATTATCACACAGTCGCCTTATAAAAAAACAATTATGTCAGTAAACCTTCGAAAAAAAAAACACGTGTGGCCCTCGGAGACTGCCGCGGTAAAGCTATTGCATAGCATTTTTTATCAACTTATGCAATTATAATTGGACAATAATAATTTAATAATAAAACAATAATAAAATAAGCCCACGCTATATTCATAAGCATTAACAAGAACAAAACATTAATTACTGTCCCCTTCACACACATAAGCTAGACCGCGCGAGAGAGAGATGGGCAGACTTTTCATGATGCGCATGCAGTGCGAAGTCACGCCGCATGCTTATTCACAAACACTACACAAGCGCAACTTGTGAATGTGTTGAACGCGAGGTACATAGTAGGCGGATGGGGGTGTTAGGTTAGGTTAATGCAATAGCTTAAAAAGTTATTTAAGTAGGTATTTGAATTTGATTTTGTATACAGCTCTGTCGCACTGTTGAAGACGAAACGTTATGGGCATGTCTCGCGGTGCTGGCATGGCAACACCATCAGCTGCCGGTGGCAGAAGAGGCCTTTGCTCTGATACGCCAATACCATCAAGTTTGCTATATCCAGCATTTAAGGGTAAATATATTCACTGCTCAAATTAACAAGCAGGTCAGCTGGTTTTTTCTGCAAGGCCATGTTACGATTGATCAGGGTGCTTAGTGCTTGTTTTGTAACGTTCTCGATAGCGTAAAAGCTAGGTCATATTTGTATGAAATGGGATCGTTTGCGTACATTTGCTGTTAGGGGCGCCTTTCCAACTGCATACACAATTGGCTTAACTTTTACGCTATCGAGAACGTTAAGAAGCTCGCTCTAAGCACACTGGTGTTAAATCGTCGTCGTAGATCATAGAAATCACAACTTGAATACTAATTATCTTGAAACATGAGATCGGAGTTATAGTAATAGTTCTATTTTTCTAAAAGGCAAAAGTATCATAACCATACAGCCTAATCTTTTATCTTTTTTTATGAAAAATGATAATATGAAGTGAAATGAAACAAAGTTCATTAATTTGAAACATTACATAATCAATTGGCATGAAATTAAATGAGATGAGAAAATGGTGGTTATTTACTAAGACTTTTTCAGTGGACTTTTTGGAGGACCCGAGAAGCTACGTCCAGCGGCTTTGTTTCATTTTCCCATATTTGTGCACTTTTACAGATACTAAACAGTTAATATACCACCGTTATTCCACATTTAAACCTGAAGAAACACTAAATAGACAAAATAAAACAATTCACACAACTTCACTCCTCGCGTTCCCGCCAAAAATCTTCGGAGTTTCAATTTGATTACATGTATCTAATGACGACGGGGTATCGGAATGGCAAAGGGAGCCATGACCCAGCTCGGTAAAATCTGGAAGGACCGTAACATTACCCAGAAAACAAAGATGAAACTGGTGCTCACTCTGGTCTTTTCCGTTTTTCTGTACGGAGGGGAGACCTGGACCCGAAGAGAAGCAATCTGTCTATCTTAGACCAACTGCAGATCAAGACAAGACTGTCCTATATCTCTACACTCTGCCTTCGCCGCGCACTCGACTACTTTGGTCATATTGCTCGGAAAACACCGGATAGCTTGAGAGACTATTCGTGACAGGGAAGATCGAGGGAAAGAGACCGCGCGGGCGCAGTCCGACAAGGTGGTTCGACCAAAGCCGCACCACACTAGAGATCTCATTCCACGACGTCCTTCATGCGGCCAATGATCGGAGGCGCTGGCGGGATATTACAAAGAATATAATCATGTCGAAGTATAATGGTCACGACCCTCAGCATTGAGGAAACGACGCGAGGAGGACCTAATGACTGCTCCCCCACTTACCTGCCTAAAATAGCTTTACTTACCAATCCAATATATTATATTTGTATTTATTTTTTTCCAGAGCAATGTACCAGAAAAGCTGAGTGCAAGTTAACGAAACAATTTTTTTAGTAATAATTATAAATTATGAAGCAACGAGATCGTTCTTTAAATATTACTTTTATAAAGAATAAATGAAAAAAATTAGTATAATATTTAAAAAAAACGAAGTTTTATTTCGAAATTTGGTGATAAATCAGTCTTAATGGTAACAAGTCAGTCTTATATATTAATTCATATTCAGTCATATATTAATTACTACTTTTATTTATTGACTGACATACTTTAAGTAGGTACTTATTTATCGATAATATAGGTATTAACCACGATAAAAAATGGATAACAGTATTTAAAATGAAGTAATCACAAAATTATAATTCAACATTGAAAGCTAGATGCAGCCTAGCGACGCCTAATTTTTATTAATAATTCACTACAATTTCAAATGAGGTCGGCTGTCTCTGATTACACCTCGTCAGAAGTTAGGCTGGTTAGTGTTACTCGCCCGTGCAGGCTTATCTACATAATCTTACCAGTAAATTCAGTCTGGAATTATTTGGGNAAATGAAGTAATCACAAAATTATAATTCAACATTGAAAGCTAGATGCAGCCTAGCGACGCCTAATTTTTATTAATAATTCACTACAATTTCAAATGAGGTCGGCTGTCTCTGATTACACCTCGTCAGAAGTTAGGCTGGTTAGTGTTACTCGCCCGTGCAGGCTTATCTACATAATCTTACCAGTAAATTCAGTCTGGAATTATTTGGGAAAGACAAGATAAATAACATTAAGTACCAATCTGAAGATAGGACCGTCATACATGCTATCTACAACTTTACTATTGAGAACTTTACCACAAGGTGACTTGCGGTACCTATCCACTTTGTGCTGTTTATTGGAATTTTTTGCTGTCTATTGCAGTAGATATAACCTAAGTTAGACCGCGAGCTCGTCTAAATCGCGACCTAAATTAAGCTATAAAAAATTGATAATGTGCATGTGAACCACAACGACCTACCTATAATGCATGAAACTACATATTTATCAAACTATACTTACATAGTAGGTACGAGAGCACGTTTCGGTAGCAATAAAGAGTACGGTCTACTCAGTTCATTAGTTCACCAATCACCATTCAGTGTTCATCAGGCTTACGTTCATTCGAGCTCGAAAAATTTGTTCAATCGTTCAATATTCAGTTGTTTTGTTCGCGTTGTCGTAGAAGGATGTGTTGCGATTAGATTGAGTTTTACGAAAAAGTTATTATTTCAATGAAGTTTAATTAAAAAATGAAACACCGACTTAAATTAGGTGCAAATCAGAAAGTAGAACTTTAACATTAATATAAAATGTAAATCGACACGTGCCCTACATTATTACTAGCGGAATAAATTTTGAAAGTGTACGTACGTTTCTGAATAAATCAACTTTCTGTGAAAATGTCGTTTAGAGGCATTGTTGTAGTGTTATTTTTAAATGTGCGTTTTTTCGCAAACTGTAGTGTGTACGATAATGAGATAAACGAACATTCCTTGGAGTTGACCCAGTCCTTGAACTTGGCTCGACAAGAACTCATCCAAGAGGCTTGCCGACGTTTTTCTCGCAACTACAAATTGGATGACCTGCAACCGGACCAGTTAAGGCATATATTGGTTGATGATGAAAGGAAACTGCTATATTGTTATGTGCCAAAGGTTTGTGCGATTCTCACAATTATAATTAAAAAAACATAATTACAATCATTTAAAAATAATGAGAAAAACGCCAAAAAACTCAGCTCAACACTTCAAAGTTACTAAAAATTACCATGAACTAATAGACAACTATCAATGTTCAAATGGTGTTCAATTACTTAACAAAAATAATGGTAAATTTTAGACATTTCAAAATATTAAACATCTGATTTATTCAATAAAACATTTTTTAACTAAACCCTTCTAGCGGTATATTGATTTCATGTCAAATACATTTACTAAGCTGAACTAATTTTACCACTAAACTTAATTAAACTATTTAATTTAAAACATGTTAACTTGTGGGAGGCTTGTGGAGAGTATTAAGAGGTAGGCAGTGGCTTGGCTCTTCCCTTGGGACTGCTGAAGTCCATGGGTGACGGTAACCACTCACCATCAGATGGGCTGTATGCTGCCTACAAGGGCAATAAAAAAAACTTACAGAAGACCTCCTCATTAGTGCCAGCTAAAGGCTAAAACATTTTCTCTAGAATTGTCCATTACATCAATGTACTTCCTATTATCTTGCTATATACATATTATCCAAAAGAATAATAATGTAACTAAAACGACTAAGTACCAAAATTACATTAAAACTAAGTATTGTTGATGGAATAGTATAGTCACTTTTGCACAAATAAAACACATTTAAAAATTTAATAACATTACAAACAAAAAGCACTGTTTTCTAGGTGGCCTGTACAAACTGGAAGAGACTTCTCCTCATATTGGCTGGTAAATGGAACAGCACAGATGTTCTATCAATTCCGGGGCATATACCTCACTTACCCGGAATGTTCAAGGATCTGAGTATGGTGACTGCACAGGAACGCGAACACATGCTAAATAATTATCATAAGATGGTGTTTGTTAGGAATCCATTTGAAAGATTACTGTCGGCTTATAGAAATAAACTGGAGGGTGATTCACCAAGTCAATATTTCCAGGTGAGCATTTTCTCATTTTTCAGATTAAAGGAATGAGTATGTAACTGGGTACCCTGTTCTTCTTTTTGTAGAAATTTAAAAGTTGCTAGAGAAACAATCTTTTCCAGAGGCCAATTTTGACAGATTATAATTTTTTAATAATAGATACAATAATTTTGATTTCTCTACCAAACAAAACCGCCATGATCATTATTGCATTAATGTGTTTAAAATCTGAATAATTATGGTCTAAGTAATTGTGATAGACATTGTTACTACCTAACAGTTTTAATAGAACTGTAAAATAATAATAAAAAATAACATTTTGTTACACATTTTTATGGAAAATAATTATGACCTATTAATATCTAATATATTATATAATAATCACTTTTTTTTTTCCTACCTAGGCTGATAGCCTTGAGAGGCTATTTCAGCGTAACCATAACTAGTAGGCGAGCTCACAGGGCTCAATCCTGACGACGTTGCTAACACGAACCCTAGCAAGAGCCGTGCTTCGCAGAATGGACTTTGAAGTAGTCGCGGCCTAAAGGATAAGACGTCCGGTGCATTCGTGTTGAGCGATGCACCGGTGTTCGAATCCCGCAGGCGGGTACCAATTTTTCTAATGAAATACGTACTCAAAAATTTTCACGATTGACTTCCACGGTGAAGGAATAACGTCGTGTAATAAAAATCAAACCTGCAAAATTATAATTTGCGTAATTACTGGTGGTAGGAACTCTTGTGAGTCCGCACGGGTAGGTACCACCGCCCTGCCTATTTCTGCCGTGAAGCAGTAAGGCGTTTCGGTTTGAAGGGCGGGGCAGCCGTAATAACTATACTGAGACCTTAGAACTTTTATCTCAAGGTGGGTAGCGCATTTACGTTGTAGATGTCTATTGGCTCCAGTAACCACTTAACACCAGGTGGGCTGTGAGCTCGTCCTTCCATCTAAGCAACAAAAAAAAACCACCGGATCGGAAACGCGAACCACTGAGAAGATCCGGCGAGAAACTCAGTGGGCTGTGTCTATGGGTTAATTTACGAACGATGACCGGTGCTTGAGGTACCCAAAAGCACCGTTAGTAGATCGGGAGGAGATAATCACATAGAGGCACAACAAGTTTAAGTTTAACTCCCCTTTCGTCTTGGTGAAGCAGAAAAGATTGCTGGAAGGCTTTCCAGATGGCCAAAAGAGCAATGCCTTCACATAAAAAAAAAAGGAAGAGGATTTCATCAAAATGAGTAGTACTACACATATCTTGGGAATTTAATATAAAAAGCGATTTAAGGAGAAATTGTTTTACGCGCTTTTTAAGAAGTCCCGTGATTACTTAAATGAGCCAACATTTAAATAGTCTGTGTAAAATAATCAGAAATGAATAGGAAATACGATTCTGACTTTTCCCGCGTACCATCCATCCATCCATCTGTTAGTATCATATCAACTTACTTCCTATATTTTCCAATTAATTTGTGTTCATTTATTGCACAGACGACCAAAGCGGTGCTAAAGGAGTATTATGAACCTTCATGAATAAGTAGCACCACCCGGTCTATTTCTGCCGCGTATCATACATTCGCTTCTGTTTGAACGGTAGCGGCGACCGATATACTAAATACAAATTAAAAATTTGACCCGTGTTCAAGATGGCGGCATTCACATCCGGTAGCCACTTAGCTGTAGCTGAGGCGTGAGTTGGTTCACCTGTATATGCAATACAAAAAAAAAACGGTCAACCTGGCGACAACAGTTAGCAGACACAGAATGACCTCAGGACGTCACAGTTTGAAATAACTTCATACTTTCAAACAAGAGCGTTTGATGGGTTTATGGGCTTTACAACACTATACCTTAACCTTCACCCAGGAATTAACTGGAAATAAACCGTCTTTACATGGCTTACTTTACAGCTAATAAAAGTTCAAATAGAACTCCTTAACATAACTGCATAATCATTTATTTATTTATTTATTTATTACACTTCATGTAAAATTTACATTGGCCGACTTCATGCCTAAGGCATTCTCTACCAGTCAACCAAAGTTAGTGCAAAATAAATAATGGTAGGTGCAATGAAATTTGTATTAAATTACAAATACATACACAGAAATACGTACATACCATACATAATAATCATTCTATTTATAATCTATCTCGGTACGTTCACACTTTCACTATTGTTTGTTCGAAATATACTTTCGTTAATCTTATAGATCGTGAAATGGTGCATCTAGTACAACTGAATTTTTTTGTGTATATCTTCGTAAAATTCCGCAACAAGCATTCTGTTACTCATCATTAGAAAATACGTACATTTTATTTAAGTAGGGATATAGGATACTAGACAAGGCACTTCTAATATATCGATATTAAAAATTACAAATTTAGTATATTATTTGCTTCGGAAATAATATAAGACTAATTTACGACGCATTTTTATGCGGATAGAAATTCGGCTTACATGCTGATTGATGTATATTATTTTATTCATTAATTTCGCTTGCCATTACCGAATCAAGACATCCGGGCGCTTCTTTTGATTAATTAAGTATGTATTATCTATAAAACCGTCCATAAACGAAGTTTAAGAACGGGTGTCCTCGCCGTTACCGTTGCCCATGGGCAGCTGTGACTAGTCTTCATCAGCTCGACCGTAAGCGTATCCTCAAACATTGCAATAGAAAATGAAATGCGTTTACAATTTGAAATAATAAACATGATTTAAATCTTTATAAAATGAATAAGTTCTGGTAAACTCTTTAACACGTTGACTGCAACGTAAAGTCGCCGTCGCCCGAAACATGTCTTGTTGGATCCCCCGGATTCACTCGGTGCTTTTAGACCTCTCAAGCACCAGCCTGCTTATTTCGGCCGTGAAGCAGTAATGCGTTTCGGTTTGAAGGGAAGGGCAGCCGTTGTAATTATACTTGAGACCTTAAAACTTATATCTCAAGGTGGGTGGCGCATTTACGTAGTAGATGTCTATGGGCTCCAGTAACCACTTAACACCAGGTTGGCTGTGAGCTCGTCCACCCATCTAAGCAATAAAAAAAAAAGATCACCGTCCTCGTCGAACTCGTCGATTACGTTCGACAAGCGAACTAACCCATAGACACAGCCCACTGAGTTTCTCGCCGGATCTTCTCAGTGGTTCGCGATTCCGATACGGTGGTAAATTCTGCGAAGCACTGCTCTTGCTAGGGCTAGTGTTAGCAAATTCTCTCAGGTTGAACCCGTGAGCTCAACTACCCGTCCGGGGCGTAGCTGGAATAGTCGCTTAGGCTACCAGCGTACAGGTAGAAGAAAAAAAAACGTTGACCGCCATGTAGGTCACCGGTGCCCGACGTGGCGCATTAAAGTAATTATTTTCGCTCTTCGATCTTATTACCTAGTCGAATATTTAATAGGAATATTTAATAGGGAAAGACGAATTCGAAAATACTTAGAATACATCTATAATATACAAAAAAACACATTAACAAACAAAAGAAGGCAAAGCTAGGCAATCCAGGTGCTTGGTTATAGAAATCGACATAATTACTTCAGTGCACCACGTAGATCACCCGTGACCTACAAAATGGCAGTCAACGTGTTAAATTGGTGAATCAGCATTCATTATCATCATCATCATCATCATTCTCCTGCCCTTCTCCCAGTCACATAGGGTCGGTGCAATATGTTTTTTTTCGTTCCATACGCCTCTATCATATACAATTTCTTCGGTCACTCCCCTCTTACACATATCGTCTTTCACGTAATCCGTCCGTTTTTCTTATGTCTACTTCTACTACTTGTAAATCATTTACAATCCACATTCTGTTTTCGATTTGCGCATATTCACTAACGACGATAACTATATAGACACAGACAAGACGGTATGTGTGCTAAGTGCGAATTTATTAACGTTCTCGATAACGTAATAGTTAACTCAAATTTGTATGGAGTTGGAACGTTTGCATATGTTTGCCGCTAGGGGCGCTGTTTGAGTTAACTATTTGTTAGTTGTTAAATATTTGTTGTTTAAGACCTCTTGTAGGACCTCTTTGAGTCCACCCTGAGGACCACCCTGCCCATTTCTGCTGTGAAGCAGTAATGCGTTTCGGTTTGAAGGGTGGGGCAGCCGTTGTAACTATACTGAGACCCTTAGAACTTATATCTCAAGGTGGGTGGCGCATTTACGTTGTAGATGTCTATGGGCTCCAGTAACCACTTAACACCAGGTGGGCTGTGAGCTCGTCCACCCATCTAAGCAATAAAAAAATAATAAAAAAACTATAATTTTCCAAACAATTACTAAGAAACCTTGCTCTGAAACGGTCGCATAAACACTTAAGTTGTGTTACAAAGAATGACAATTTGAAAAGCACAAATCAAGAGTTTGATTTTGTTTTATGTTTATTCAAATTGTATGTATAAATGCCTTTGTATTTTCATATATGTATGTGTATTAATTAGACCTGATTAGCAATAACAGGGACTTCGAGTCGTATTAGACAAATATCTTAGTCTAGTAATAAGCTGCACTGAATGATGACCGTTGAATATGTATTCAGAAATGTTAAGGTCTTGTGATCTTTAGTATTTAGGCTTCTGCCCTCGAAAGTAGAACGGAATACGATAGCTTTACGTTAAAAATAAACATATAAGGCCAAATGTGTCAGTCAAAAAGATGAACGATAAATAATGATGTGCGTACGAAAACAAATTAATTATTCCGGTGGCCTTCCTTGTTCAGGCAAATTGATAACAATTGCGTCTTACATGAAATCCAGTAAACCTATGAACACGACCGTGACCTGCCTTAATGGATGACTTTATTCGTTGTTACGGAATCCTGATGTACTTACGTAAATGCGTAGGTTTATGGTATACGTATATCTATCTATTTGTAATTAATTTGCTGCATTTAACTTAATATTGTGCGACATAAGCCTCTCCATTTCGAAGGTGCAAGTCTTTGTCGAAAGTCCGAGCTCTTCGTACAAAAGGTTAGGGAACAATATTTAGTTCAAGCATTGTGCGTATCTTCTTTTTTTTTTTTCTCCTACCTAAGCTGGTAGCCTAGAGAGGCTATTCCAGCGTAACCGTAACTAGTAGGTGAGCTCACGGGGCTCAAACCTGACGACGATGCTAACACGAACCCTAGCAAGAGCCGTGCTTCGCAGAATCTACCACCGGATCGGAAACGCGACCCACTGAGAAGATCCGGCGAGAAACTCGGTGGGCTGTGCGTATCGCAAAAATATCCATGTACACTCACAACACCGAAAACGTATCTTAAAAAAAAAAACTATCCCTAATATTGGCTGAATGGACTATACTCCCTTTACCAGTATAATTAAAAAAAAGAACAGAGTTTTATGATATCCTATAAATACTGGCTTATGTAAATGAAACCTTTATACGTATAAACAATGTGGATATTTAAAATTTTAGCAACGAGGGTGAATTATTATATATTACTGCAGTAAACTGTTATAAATATGCATCATAAATTTAAAAATCTCGATTCGCATTAACATTTTTTTTTAATTATTTATAGTTTCAATGAAACTGTCATTTTTCAAATCTCAGAGACCCGTTTTTTTTGCGAATCAAGACTAGTAGTAATGAATTTATAGACCGGAATGTATTTAATTGCATTATCGCTTTATCAAATCAACATTTGTATGCTAAAATTTAACATTTGAATTGTTCTGCTTATTCATAAATATCCACTTAACATGCATATAAAATTCAAAATTGCAAATTCTGAATATTCTCTAATGTCATTATTTAATTTAAATACTTTTATATTATGATTATGACGAAACGCGGCTATGTAGATGGAATATGACACTTAAAACTATTGTGTATTGTCAGTGGAGCCTGTCCTTATAAATGAGGCCGTCAGCACAAAAGTGGCCTATCCTACATTTTTTTATTTTCGTGGCGCTACTATATTGCAATTTATTTAAAACATAATCAATTTTTATGCAAAACCGGCCTATCCTTAGTTTTGCCCATAGATAACAGATGGACAGACTTTTTCGCTGTCGGCCTCAAATATCTCAGCAAAAATAGATGGTTGCTCCGTGTGGACTTCGAGGCAGCTGGCAATTTTAAAAGATACCTACTACTAATATTTTAAGTGAATTCCATTGTGCTATGTACCATCACAACACATTATTGCAACATTTGTAACTGTAACTATACTTGAGACCTTAGAACTTATATCTCAAGGTAGGTGGCGCATTTACGTCGTAGATGTCTATGGGCTCCAGTAACCACTTCACACCAGGTGGGCTGTAAACTCGTCCACTCATCTAGCAATAATAAAAAAAAAAAACCGTTTCCTAGATGCATGTAACATTGATATGTAAATGTATACAAGAATTTTTCGTTTAAAATAATAGATTAGGTAAATGTAAAAAACTTGTTCATACTTATAGTGACCTCAGTTCTGGTAACCATACATCATACAATCCAAATACGGATTGTAAAGTATTCCGTATATTATTAAGCTTAACTTAAACTAATTATTATAATTATTATCATTCAAATGCATATAACTGTATTGAAGCTGGTTGTGACGGATACACTGAATAGATTAAATGCTATATTGATGTACTAATGTAACCTTCCGAGAGTATAGGGGTATTTGGGGTCGACATTTCTAGTGATGTCCAATTTCGGAGTCATTTAGAAGGCAAAGCCAAGCTGGCGTCCAAAATGCTGATACTATGAATACCAGCTTTGTATAAGTCGCTATCGGTTTATCTGTATACATTCCTTACCGATTTTGGCAAAGCTAATAGTTGTTCTCGAGGATTGGATTTCTCCAGTGCCTTAAAGTTAGGCGTAGAATTATAAAAGTTACTGTCCTCTAGTGCAATGTTGTGTGTTTTCTGTGAACACACGATGAATTACTGGTGGTAGGACCTCTTGATAGTCTGCACGGGTAGGCACCACCACCCTGCCTATTTCTGCCGTGAAGCAGTTTCGTTTCGGTTTGAAGGGCAGGGCAGCCGTTGTAACTGTACTGAGACTTTACAACTTATATCTTAAAGTGGGTGGCGCATTGGCGTTGTAGGTGTCTATGGGCTCCAGTAACTACTTAACACCAGATGGGCTGGTAGCTCATCCACCCAAAAAAAACTTGGAGGGGAGAAAATTTTTAGGTTGAATATGATATTAAAAGCTATCACTGATTCCATAATATACATTTGGATTGTGGTATGTAAAATTTAAGTATACGGGTTCTCGTTCATGTTTTGGTATGGTGGATGCATCGCAGTTGTTCAGATTACGAAATTATTACTTAAATTATACTCTAAAACTACTTAATCTAGAGCTGTAAGTAACTATTTTTTCTTCCTACCCAAGCTGAGAGCCTTGAGAGGCTATTTCAGCGTAACCTTAATTAGTAGGTGAGCTCACGGGGCCCAAACCTGACGACGTTGCTAACACGAACCCTAGCAGGAGCCGTGCTTCGCAAAATCTACCACCGGATCGGAAACGCGACCCACTGAGAAGATCCCGCGAGAAACTCAGTGGGTTGTGGTGTCTGAGGATTAATTTACTCGACGAGCCCTTCGTCGCAAGCGACAGGTTCGACTAGAACGATGACCGGTGCTTGAGGTACCTAAAAGCACCGTTAGTGGATCGGGAGGATCCGAGATGACGTGTTTGGGGCGACGTCGACTACTTTCCATTCTATCCGCAGGATCGGGAATCTGTAACTCTAAAAACTCATGTATATTATACAATTTGGCTTCAACTTTATTGTGTTTTTTTTTGTTTGACTTCCTGAACCATCGGCTAATCCCAAGTGCAAAGAGCATTGTAATACAGGAAACGAACAAAAACAAATATTGTTAATGAAAAAAAATAAAAATCACCATAATAAAAGAGGTTTTATTACAGGAACACGTTGGAAGGCGCATAATAAAAACGTACCGCGAGAACCCCTCAAACCAGTCCCTTGAATTTGGCAATGATGTCACTTTCAAAGAATTCGCCATGTTCCTGACGAACAAATCGGAGGAGTTGGCCGACGTCGTCAACAACGAACACTGGCAGCCGATCACCGATCTATGCCATCCGTGTCAAATAAAATACACGTTAGTTGGTAAGTTTTTTTCCTTGATAATCTATACATATAAATAAAATTTGGGTGTCTGTTTGTAATATTGAAATAACCGCTTTTTACTACGTGCATAATATGAATACATATATATATACGGTACGTTATACACCAAAATGACATTTTTTTACAATTTTTGTCTGTCTATCTGTCTGTCTGTCTGTTTGTTCTTAATTTCTGGAACGGCTGGACCGATTTTGACGAGACTTTCGCTGACAGGTAGCTGATGATATAAGGAGTAACTTAGGCTACTTTTTTTTAGAATAGCTTCGCGCCGCGCCGTCATCCGCGGTACCACAATAACCGCGGGTAGCATCGCGGGTCTCAATAACAATAATAAAATTTAATATTTCCGAAGCGAAGCGAGGGCGGGTCGCTACTTAATAATAAGTTCAAAAACACCCTTTTATGATAACGGTCCATTACGTGGCAAGGCAGATTTATTTTGCGAGCCTATGCCAACAATGCCGATGGTCAGAAATCNCCGCGCCGTCATCCGCGGTACCACAATAACCGCGGGTAGCATCGCGGGTCTCAATAACAATAATAAAATTTAATATTTCCGAAGCGAAGCGAGGGCGGGTCGCTACTTAATAATAAGTTCAAAAACACCCTTTTATGATAACGGTCCATTACGTGGCAAGGCAGATTTATTTTGCGAGCCTATGCCAACAATGCCGATGGTCAGAAATCTACTCGATACCTCTCCATGCCGATATTCATATCTTTAAAAAATGAAATTGCTGCGTCGAATTAAACACAAAACATTAAAGTCCGATCGTTTATCTGACCCGCCGTATCAATTAGTAGTACCGTTTTAGGCAGCTCTTCACGAAGCCACACACCGGGATATGTGAACGAGCAGTATCTAAGCAAACAACAAAATGCGTGATCAGTAATGTTTTTACCCACACGCGCCTTGATATCACCATATCTATGCGTGTTACTGTTGCAAACTATTCATGCGTTTCGATTTTTGAAGGGCCGGCTTAAAAGGTCGTTCGCTTGGAGCTTTTTGAACAGTGCTGTTGTCGTGGCCTCTACTGAATAGTAACGGCTTATGTTCAAGATGTTAGCGCATCGCACAATAAAAATAAACCGAGACAAGCTGCTAGTTGATTTGTAGAATCAAGTGGGTGAGACGAAACAATTTTTTTTACTGAATTGTCATAATAGGAGTTGATTAAAAACTGATCTGACTGATCAACCAATCACTCCTGACATCTGACACATCTGACAAGTTTTTCTTTTTTTTTTACATACGTCACAAACAGATTAACTGAATAAAAACAATTATAACGGTCCTGGCTTGAATGATACATGATATTAAATTAAAATAAACATAACAAATAAACGATCATTATAGACGACATAATATTGGCCACACATAGGACTTTATTTCGTCTTCAACAGTAATTATTTTAAAATAGGCCACTGGCTACAGGATCTTCCTAGCGATTCCGATTCGGTGGTAGATTCTGCGAAGCGCTGCTCTTGTTAGGGCTAGTTTTGGAAAATTCTCTCAGGTTGAGCCCGTGAGCTCACCTATCTATCCGTCCGAGCGTATCTGGAATAACCCTTTGCGCTACCGGCGATTAGATAGCCAAAAAAATATATACTTAAAATTGTACCTACTGCAAATTTTGGTTGCTTTAAAAATGTACTGAATTAAAATAAAATATTATCAGTAGCACTTCCCGTTACAGTGAGTAATACTAAAACGTTATCAAAATGTAACTATATATCGTTATTTCATTTAAATACCGATTACTAATTATAAACTAAATGGTTGTATGCGAATGTATGGTGTATCTTGTTTCGTTGGGCTTTGAGTTCGAGTTATGGATGTGAGTGAGTGTTGGTTTAAAATATATACTATCACCACTACTGTTACTATCGCTTTACCTTGAAAGTTTAACGGCTTTAAGTGCCTAAAAATAACTTCATTTAATATAAACTAAATGATGATTTTTTTTTGATAACGCCATCTTGTTGTGTCTTTAAAGCGGTTAGTTGCCCTCAATTAAGAAAAATAGTATTATTATTCGCCAATAGATGTCGGAAAGAGTTGATTATTGAAAACACGAATAAAACAACATTTTCTGAAAATAAATCGTTGCTAGATCAATTTATCGCCCCCGAAATCCCCTGTATATTAATTTTTATGAAAATCGTTGGAGCCGTTTCCGAGATTCAGATTATATGTGTATATATTAATTTACAAAAATTGCTCGTTTAAAGGTATAAGATAAATAGCTGGGGACAAATCTCACAGCCATATAGCCCCAATTTAGGATTCCCTGTGTTATAGGTACCAGAAATTGAAAAACATACTTTTAATAAGTTTAAATAAATACATGTATAGATAATAAATACGCAGGCAAACAAGCTTGTTAATAACACAATGTTTGCCCGATGTGGAAATCGAACCCACGACCCTTGGCACGACAGTCAGGAGCGCTAACTACTGTACCACCGAGTCGGTCAGTCATAAAGTTATTTAAGTTTGTGCGCGTTTACGACAGCAATCGATAAATGGCGGTGCTTTTGGGTACCTCAAGCATCGGTCACCGTCCTCGCCGAACCCATCGCTTGCGAGGAAGGGCTCGCTAGACACAAATTCACCTATAGGTCCACTAAGTTTCTCGCCGGATCTCCTTAGTGGGTCGCGTTTCCGATACGATGGTAGGTTCTGCGAAGCACTACTGTTAGGACCAGTGTTAGCAACACTCCGGTTTGAGCCCCGAGTGCTCACTTACGCGTTAGGGTAAAGCTGATATAGCCTCTCAAGACTATCATCAGCATAAGTAGAAAAAAAAATGAATTTATTAGTCTTCTGAACAGCGCTACTGCTAAGTTCAAAAGTGCATTCCGAAACGACCACTACGCGAGCAAAGTCACCGACATAGCTAGTAACAAAATATTACTTATTTATTAAAAATGTATAAAAAAAACAGGATATACGCCTTATCATATTTCTTGGAACTGGCATTTAGGGAATTACAGCGCGCAGATCGCAAAAGTGCCCAAATTTTAAAAAGCTCTTTCGTTGAAGACTTATAGTTAAATTGATAATCGTTGAAATTCCGCTGATCTCCCGCATAATTAAAAAAAATCACCGTACCGTAGATTAAAGGGAATCGGGCCCCTTTCCAAATCCAACACAAATTTTCAATGGTTTTTCTTAGGGTAATACCAATAAAATTGAGATTTAAATGGTTCAACTCTCAACTCTCTCAACTCTTCAACCTCATCGGTGAACACATTATGAGGCTCGTTCTGGAGAACTGGGAGGGGGGTATTCGTGTAGGAGGCCACCGAATTAGTAATCTTCGTTTCGCTGATGATACCACTATAATCGGTACCTCGGAGCGAGAGTTGCATGAGCTTCTGAGGAGAGTGGAAGTCGTTAGCAAAGATTACGGACTTTGCATCAACCGATCCAANTAATACGTTTAAATAAATACATGTATAGATAATAAATACCCAGGCAAACAAGCTTGTTAATAACACAATGTTTGCCCGATGTGGGAATCGAACCCACGACCCTTGGCACGACAGTCAGGGGCGCTAATTACTGCATTATCCAGTCGGTCAGTCATAAAGTTATTTAAGTTTGTGCGCGTTTACGACAGCAATCGATAAATGGCGGTGCTTTTAGGTACCTCAAGCATCGGTCACCGTCCTTGCGAACCGTTGCCGAACCCGTCGCTTGGGACGAAGGGCTCGGCGAGTAAATTCACTTATAGTTCCACTGAGTTTCTCGCCGAATCTCTTTAGTGGGTCGCGTTTCCGATACAATGGTAGGTTCTGCGAAGCACTACTGTTAGGGCCAGTGCTAGCAACACCTCCGGTTTGAGCCCCGAGTGCTGACTTACACGTTAAGGTAAAGCTGATATAGCCTCTCAAGGCTATCATCAGCATAGGTAGAAAAAAAGGCAAATGGCTTTATTAGTCTTCTGAACAGAGCTACCGTTAAGTTCAAAAATGCATTCCGAAACGACCACTACGCGTGTGAAGTCACCGACATAGCTCGTAACAAAATATTACTTATTTATTAAAAATGTATAAAAAAAACAGGATATACGCCTTATCATATTTCTTGGAACTGGCATTTAGGGAATTACAGCGCGCAGATCGCAAAAGTGCCCAAATTTGAAAAAGCTCTTTCGTTGAAGACTTTAATTAAATTGATAATCGTTGAAATTTCGCTAATCTCCTGCATAATGAAAAAAAAAATCACTACCGTAGATTAGAGGGAATCGGGCCCCTTTCCAAATCCAACACAAATTTTCAATGGTTTTTCTTAGGGTCATACCAATAAAATTGAGATTTAAATGGTTCCGGAGACTTAAATTTTTATATACGATGCGTTATTATACATAGTTCATTACAAAATATACCCAAAAACTGAAAAAACTAGCTTAACCCGATTCACCTTGGCTTTGGGGTGAATCATGTTACGTGTGGGGACAATAGAGTTTTTCGATAGAGCTGGCACTATTAATTCACTTTTTAATATCTTTAATGAGTTACAAAACTTTAATGACTAAATTGAACTATTTAATATTCTTGATACACTAAATAAAAGTCATTTTCAGTTCAACAAAGTTAAATCTTAACAACTCAACAAAAGTATTAAGACATCCCAGATTTGTCGCTATTCTGACTCGTCTCTATTCCCCCAAATCTACTGTATTTAAGACGCTCATAATGTTTTTTACATAATAAGTTACATGATCTATTTAAGTAATGGAATTTTTCAACGTTATTTTCACCAACTTCATGAAGTCTGTTTGTCCCGAAAATTTGCTAATGTACTGACGACAATACTTTCAATATATGGGAATGTCATAGGTAGCTCAATATTAACATCAAACTCAATTTTGTAAATATCAAATAAAAATTTTGTAATATCAAATTCAATGTTTATTCCAAGATTAGAATTTTTTTATTATTCAAATTTAATTTTGTAAATATCAAAT